AAATATTGAAACTACTTTTAGCTAGTGAAAAAATAAAACATTAATAGAAATGAAATTGACGCGTCCTTCGTCGGGATATAGAAGAAAACTCAACAAATTAAAACTACAGCTGCACTCTCATACCCGGAACACCACACAAGAATGAGAAAGCTCATAAAAGAAAATAGTTTTAAAGAAACTATAACCACTATCCTCCAACTTTCAATATTTTTATTTTACACAAAACTTGCGACATTTTCGCTTAGCATAATTCGCTTCTTCTTCTTCTTCTTCTTCTTCCTCCTTGTTTTTCTTTGTTCTGCAGTTTTGCTTAACAGTGAAAAGTAATCCACGAGATTAAGGAGAGAGGGAGGAATGGGATGCTTTCTTTAATAACAGACTAGGTGTTCCGAGAAATAATGAATTCGAGAAGCCAACAAGACAAAGGAACGATGCAAGCATGACACAAAGACAAGGGATGCATACTCTATAAAGTTATAGAGCTTCTCCGTAATTCTAGTTCTAGATTCTCGTCACCTCGTTAAGGTGACAATACTGCAATTATGTAGATATCGACAGACGCAAATCGTTCCCACTGGAAGTGACAGCGCAACAATCTAAAGTGGATCTTGCTGATGCAGCTGGCATGTACGCGCGTACAGTGTACCAGGTACGTGTCAGACTGCAGTTACAACACTAATTACACTAAGCCTTATACAGAAAAATAGAAACGAGAAGAATCAGTTGAAGAGACTTTCACGAGAGATTTTAATTCCTCGACCTAATAAAACTAAGACTCAATTTTATCTCCAAGAATTTTTATACTTTTCCAATTCTTTACATATCTTTTAATTTAAAAAAATATTAACGATCTTAATTTTTTTAAACTTTATCCATAATTTTCAAAGTCGCGACTATTTTCAGCTTCATATCAATTTAAATATAAAGCTATTAATTCAAGTCGAGCAAATAAACAAGCTATTTTTTACTTCTCCATTACAGTATTTTATATTAATTATACAACTAATTGAATATTAATTAATAATATATGTGCTTATTTGTAATTTTTTTTTACTCTAAAAACCTTAATTTACTGCTAAATAAATTTTTCAACTATTAAACTGCAATTTGAATTTAGAAAAAAAAATGTTTAATTGAATTTATTTTTCAATATTGCACTAGGGCGCTGTTTGATTAAGGAATTGGTCTCGGTGCAAATGAATACAAATTCATGTAACGCATTACGCGGTCGCGTCGTTACTGAGGCAATTAATTAAATGGCAGCCATTATCGTCCTCCGTTCTGCAATCTCGTGATCTGTGCACGACATATACATAGCCGGATGAATGTTTGATTATTTTATTCAAGAAGGGAACTTTACTAGTTTACATTATCATTTAATGTATTACTTTTTATAATTATTTTTCAAGGCAATTATAAACGTTAATGGAATATACTAAAAGCGAGTTTATCAACCAGTTCTTTTTTGTTCAATAATTTTAAAAAAATTATTTTTTTTGCAATTTTAAAGGAAATTAAATATATATTTTGAATACCTATATTTCTCAACGCGGCTGTTGATGTTTGTTCTAATTCTGATCCGGTGGAAAGATGGCTTTCAGTTTTAAATTCCTCAGAAATAAGAATTGTCAAATTTTGTTGTAAAATTAATTAGTCAATTGTTGCATGAACGATATAATTGTGAAAGAGTATTAATGTGTTACAGTCACTTTTACCGATTGTTTTTTATTTTAATTTCAGTATCTGTATTAGGTAAATATAAATGTAATTTTATCTCATAATTTAGTTTTAGAGAATAGCGATTCTCTACTCATGTAACGAGGTAGACAAGTGTAAATAAATAAATAAAAAAATATATTTTTATTAAAAGGAAATATTAAAAAAACGGGATAATTTTTTAAATATTTATACTTCGTTCAACATGTCAAAAAAATACGATTTTTTTTTTAGATGCACGCATGTAAATACCTCAACATATACCAATGCGATAATGCATTTGTGGAGGTAAATGCGAATCTGGCATCGAAAATAACCAGTGTGTGTATATAGTTTCATAGTCCACGTTACACTCTCAATGAAACGAAATCGTGTGTCATGACAGCAACGTGTGGCGTGGGCTGTGCGTTGCCCAGAGAGGTTGCGTTTGGGTTACATAACACGAGTATGTATGGGTGGATACGTATTCGAATCACTATTCGATATAACGGGTGTCTGGTTTTACTTCGTTCGGTTTGTCATGACCGGAGTAGGGCACGCAACCCCTCCTCGACACCGAAAAAAATCAATAGACTCCGCACGACGACGAAGTCCTTCGAAGTGCACGACGTATGCATCGTTTTCACTGCCTCTCTTTTTCTCTCACATCCCCAGTTTTCTCGAGAAAAAAAAAATGAAAATAATAAATAATTTTTTATCCCTCCGCAAAGAATATCAAACTGTATCAGGGTTGCGACAAGAATAAATTTTTCAATTTCCCCAACATTTCTCTGACATTAAAAAATTTTCTCCTACGAATTTTTTTTTATTTTTAATGAATTTTGAATAGAAATTTAATAATTTGATGATAGAGAAACGTGTTTTACTAAACTATATTCTACGGTTTTTACTGGAGTGGAGACCTTTTTTCTTGAATAGGTGAAAAGGTGAATTATTTACCAAAAATAGTTGCCAAAAAGTGATAAAAAAAAACTGATAGTTAAAACCAATTAACGTGCAAAATAACTTATTTGTATCTATTCAAATTTGGATTAGTCGAAATTATTTGTCAATGATTGAAGCATAAGTAGTTCAGGGTAAATTGAATTTTGGATAAATTGAAACTTAAATCAATCAAAATTCAGATAATTTGAAACACAAATCAATTCAAATTTCCATCATTTCAAACCTAAATCAATTAAAATTTTAAAAATTCTAAACAATCGACAATGAAAGATAGTCTCATTATTTCTACAATAATAATAATAATTTTCAAATAAAATACTGTCAGTTTTAAAATTCAAATTTCGTGCTGAATTGCACTTTGAATTTCAAAAAGTTTTATTTTCTCAAAAAAAAAGAGGAAAAATAAATTTGGGCCAATTAATATTTGTCAGAGTTTGAGGAAAAATTTTTAAAAAAATGTTAATTACTGAAAAATGGTATTTCTGTAATATATAGATAAAAGTATATATGTATATTGGAAATTATTATTATTATTTGTCGAACATGTTGAATAAAATAGAATTTTGCCACGAAAATCGACAGCTTATATTCAGTGAAATATTCACGCTATTGCACTTGTCTGACCGCATTTCAACTTTACATAAACGATAATAAACAAAGCGTGGAATTTTCGAATGATTTCATAATTATTTTCACATCGAACGTTTCACATCTCACTACTCTCTTCTTGACACAAGTGACGGCTTGCAAAATGTTACAGCTACTGCATCGACATTTTTCATTAAAATTAATGAATATTTTCAACCACTCGATTCAACTTGTATAATACAAAATAATTAAATTTTCCCCTCAATGAAAATGAATAAATTTTTTACTAAATTAACTATTGTATACCGTTAACAAAAAAAAGCAGATTATTTTTATCTCGAGATACGAAATTAAAAAGACTTAAATTCAATAATAATAAATATGTTTATCAGCAAATAAACAAAGGAGATTTTTTTTCAGGATCAAAAGGTTATCTTTAAGGTATGAAATATCTTTTAGGTATGTGAAAAAAAAATTCTGCCTATACTTTCTTTTTATATACTTTTTATTAGTGATTATTTCCTGAACTTGGGAGGGAAAAAAGAAGAAATTAAATAGAATACCGTTAAAGCGTTCCCTTTACTTTTTTTCCAATAGTATCATTGAGTATTGTGAATAACAATGGGTTAAAATAAAAGCTTTTTGTGTTTAAAGTTTCAGTTACTTTATCGCTCTTAAGGAAAGAGGCCAACTATACATACATACACACACACCATGCCATTGACGATTTTAAGAAACAATCGTGTTGAATCTTAACGACGCTACGGCGTACTTAAAGAATATACATTCATATCGTATCGTACATTTTACTGCAAAAGGATAGGTGTTCAAAAAGCATAGGGGGGTTTGCCGAGGCACGTGTGCGTGGCTACAATTGTATTTTATATACTTCAAGGCCCATTTCAATGTATATGTTAAAGCACCACTAACGGAAGAGGGCGGTGTGCGCACGGCCGCGGTTCGCGACTTATAAATCACCTCAACAATCGGGGTTAGTACAGGCACCCTTGGAACAGATCCGGTTCACTAGAGTGCCTCGCTCTCTATTGTGTTCCATTCTGTTCCAAAGTTTTCTGATCTCTCTTCAACAGAATAGGGTTGCACTTAAGATCACCAACTACGATATAATTAACCCCTGCCATTGCCTACACTCAATATCGTTTCATTCCACACCATCCTTATATATTTTTCAAATGAAAAATATTGGTATTAAATATTAAAATATATGAATTAATATTTTTTTTCATAAGCTCCAGTTATTAATTCAAAATATTTCCCAAGGAACAAAAAAAAATTAAGACAACAAAAATTATATATATTTGACCCACAGGATATTAAAATGTTTTAGTATGTTAAAAAAAATTCCAATAATTTAATTTCAAATAATGGTAGTTTTATAAAATAATAATAATAAAAAAAAAACTCTAAGAAAGAAAAGCAATCAAATGTGATGAATTCTTGAATAGGAAAGGAAGTAAACTGAAAAGCAACATTATGTGGATAGTTTTATGATAAAGTATAAAGATCTAACTTTTTCAAGATTATTCTCAACTTAAGGAATGTGGTTGGCAATAAAATATTTGTTGGCAAAACGTGAAGACGTTCCTCCGGACGGGGAGGCTTTACTAATGCAAAGCAGAATAAGAAAGGAGTCTACATAAATATCCCTGTGGGTCGATAAAAGAGTTGCGGTAATGACCGCCTCGATTATCTTTACGCCATTTGACTATGAGCATAAAAGAGGCACTCACCTGTTTTTCTCCAGCTCGTTATGAGTTGTCCTGAAACAAAAAGAAATAAAAGTTAGTCAAAAGTCATTAAATAGAATTTAATGAATTGTTGGAGAAAAAAAATTAGTCTATTGAATAAAAAAAAGATCAAGATGAAATAATTTAAATACTAATTGAAATATTCTTTCATTAATCTCGTTTTCCATTTAAATGTACAAAAAAAAATTTATTAGCGTCAATGACGAATTTCAAATAATGTGATTTGAAAACTGGAAATAATTGCGTTCAACAAAAGGTTAAGTAATTGTATTCTTCCAATGACCAGCTGCTCCGGACTGCGAAATGTCTGATAATAAACGTTTGACAGTCGGCCCCATGGAGGAGAAACATTAAAGTAGGGAGGAAACGTCGTTTCGCTCGTAAACCAGTGTCATAATTTTAGCGCGTGAATACTTTTGTTGTGGACACACACTTTCGCATTACGGATTTATTATTTGTAGTTTCTGGAAATGGGGTTCAGAAAAATAATCAATGAGGGGGTAAAAGTGTATTTTAAATTAATAGTTTTTAAACATTCCTCTATCATTATCTTTGTACAGATTTGATGTTTTTTTTCTAAAACAATTTATTTTAGTCATATAATAATACGGTATTTAAAAATAATTTTCATTTCTAGAATAGTGAAATTTAACTTTAAACAAAACTGCTAATTATTTTCAATTGTTCTGGATATATGAACTTTAAAGGTACTAATAAAACCATCTGTAGTGTATAGTTGATTTCTTGGACGATTAGAACTACAATTAAATGCAACCGGTACTAACAATCAATCAGAGAATAAAGTGCATTTAAGGTATAATGGGATTTACGAACTAAACTATCTGAACGACTAGAAATTTGTGACTTTTCCTTTAATGGTGTTATATACGAAAAGTTAGGTTTCTATAGGATCTAAAGATAAACTGAAATGACGAAACGGTAGCTGTAAACATCATTATTCATAGGACTCCCAACTAATCCCAACCATAAAGCAGATCATTTACATTTAAAAGTCCCCAACAGAATAGATTAAAACCTATCCACCTGAAATATATAATCAAGACATCTTGATACTATTTTCCATTTTATTTAGAGAAATAAATATAATTTAAATTATTTTTTTTTTACATTAAAAAGAAGTTTGAACAAGTTTCAATGAAATTCAAAAATTTAAATTTGAATTGAATAACAAAGATTTAATACATGTATATATATATATATAGGAATAAATGAATACTAACCTGCTGCCCTGAGATTTTTTCGTTTTTGACCTCTTACTGGATGATCGCAAGTCATCAGGTATCGGCATTGTCGAAGCGTAGCCATGTTCAGCTTCTACAAAAATAGAAAATTAACATTGATTAAAAATCAAAATTGGTACATCAAATTAAATTAATTAATATCAACGTTATAAACGTCCATTAGCAAAAAAAATTTAAATTACTAAACAACGCTAAATTTAAATTAATTAAATGATTAGTGTTCAAGGACAAACTAATTCCGACAATAAAAAATAGTTAAATAGGCAAAAATTATGTTTTCTTTGCTACAACAATATTGTAAGAAAATAAATAATTCTATTTTTGTATTAAAAAAGCTTCAAATATATACAAAATTAGGAATATATTAACTTATAATAAAAGTATGTGTTTGGAAAAAAAAACATGAACAATATTTAAAGATTTACATTCTATAAAAAATGTAGTATTCTTTTTAAATGTCATAAAACATAGCAACAGAGATGCTTATAGTTTGGACAGAAAGTAATGCCACGTCGTGTACGTGCTCGCATATATGTATCGCTTGACTTGACATGGCGCAGCGCAGTAAGTGGAGTGATAAAATGAGATCATCGTTCCGGGGACGCTCGCATCAACAACATATGAGCTCAGGAATAATTCACGCTAAGGTGAACTTAAGAAAAAAAAAGAACAATATTTCCATTTACGTTTAAACTATATAGCGAAGGGATACTCAAGAATCAAACAACCTCCTTTTTATTGCAGGTTATATATACATAATATATATATAAAACAAGAAACACTGCGTTTTCTCTAATCATCGATATACAATTTGGAATTTATATTTACTGTAATTGCTTTGTTTACTTTAAAATTTCCGGTGCTTCTACATTATTGAGCGCCTAATGATCAAATCAAGGTCAACTTATTTTGAAACTGTTTAAACGTACGTTTCCTTTTGTAATTATGTTTTAGTTTATAACATACATATATAAGGAAAGAAAAAATTTCCATTCAAATTTTACAATTTAGACTTTTTCTATTCTTTATTATCTTCAAGCATGAAAAGTAACCTGATTGTTTTCATTAATTAAATTGAGGCCAAAATACAGTCGGATAGGCCTCGAATCGACTTTAAGACACAAAAAAAGTCGCTTTAGTCGATTTATATTCCAAAAAAGTCGATTTTTTATTTTAACAACATTTAATTGGTTAATGAATATTTTACTTTAAATTTCTAAAAAAAATTCTTGAAGTTCCATTTTTATAATTTTTTGAAGTCTGATTTAAGCAATTCATTCGAATTTAAAATTTTATCATAGTTTTTAGTTTTGATAGTCAAAAAAAATTTCAGGCAATGGGGTACTTAATCAAGTTTTACAGATTTTTAATTAAAAATTTTTTTTAAATAATATTAATTTTGGAAGAGTTAAAGTTGATATTTTTAAAAATTATTTGAATGTTGAAAGATTTTGTTAATTTTCAGACAATAATTAAATTTTACAGAACTAAAAATAATTTATCAAAGAATTTTATATAACATTTTTTAAAAGTAATTGAATTTTCAAACATTTACAATTACTTAAGATTTTTGAAATTATTGAACTTCAAGTGATTTTTAATTTTAAATTTTTTGATGATTTCACTAAAAAATTTATTAGAAATTGCAGACCAAAAATACAATAATTTGAAAACTTTTTAAGTGAAAAATGGTTTCAGATAGTTGAATTTTCGAAGAATATTGTAAAAATAATTAATAACCATTGAATTTCAGAAAAGTAATAATTGAAATTATTAAATTTCAAAAAATTTTAGATGGAAAATTTTAGAAGCTTTTATATTGAAATTTTTGAAAATAATTGAATTTTAAAAGATTGTGTTAAATTTCAGACAATAATTTAGCAATTTTAATTGAAAAATAGTTTAAGATAATTGAATTTGTGAAGAATTTCATTAAAATTTTTAAAAAATAATTAATTTAGTGAAGAATCAAAGTTACTGGGTTAGGCTAACAGTCAGTGGCGTTTGTAACTTTTTTATATGATGGATAAAAGTGCCAAAAAATGACTATTTAGTCGTGAGTCAACATCTGTTTAAAGATCATATTACGTCAATGTGTATATAGTTAAAGTCTCTAATATAATCTATATAGGTGTACATATTTTGTAATGCTAATTTTACTACACTAAATAATTGAGTATAGTAATATTTCATACTGTCCATCATAATTGGTTTGTTGTATTTTTCACATTAGATGTTTAATAGTTTAGCGACTGAAAAAAATTTTTTTTTTAATTATGTAAATTTCAAACTTGTCCATTACGAATAGCTATATACATACATATAAAGGTAAATTTAACTATCATATGAATTTTTCCATTTTCATCAAGTGGGCGTCAAGTTGCAACTAAATATACGGAAAAACATTAATATCGTTCTCTTTAACGATTTCCAGAAAATTTATGTAATTATTTTCTTCTTTTGTTTTAAAAATTAAAATGATCTTTGTAACTATCAATAAAAGAGAGAGAGAGAGAGAGAGAGAGAGAGTATTTTTCACATTAAATTTAGCATTAAGATGACTGATATATGTGTATATATGTATTGAGAAAGATAAAAATATAACACAATGCTTATTGATTAGATTAGACTGGAATACAAATCGAGAGACAAAGATAAGTCTTTAATAGATCACTTTTCTGTAAACAGAGATTACCTCATGCCAGAAGATAGTTAAATGAATAAAATAAAAAAACACACACACACACACACACAAACCATTTGTTGCAAAAAATTTTTTTTTTCTTATCTAATTAGAAGTTTCAATTTTAATTCGTTTATTACTTTGTAATTCAGTTCAGATGAAATATTCACTTTCCGATGATTATATGCAATTGAGTTCATATAGTATGTGATTAATGAGAGTGCGTTTGATTACTTTGTTTGTAACGGGCGTGTATCTTAACTCTCTTTGTAAGTTAAAATGCTTCGTTAATGCACTTGGCTAATTATCTTGGAAACATAATGCGGTATATTTATCACCATCACCAGAGATTGGTGGTGACGATTGAACTACGTAGTATAAGTATAGTTAGTATTTTCAAATTACAAATGTCAATTAGTTTTCAAATAGCATCACACTATTCATTCTATACATTTAACCCTTTCGTGCCCCCGGGCAACCTAGCTTATAGATTTTGTTGAAACTCGTCACTCGGGGGTTTTTGGGGTCGCTGATTTCGAATTTGAAGTCAGATTTTGAAAATTCAAAATGGCGGATCCAATATGGCGGACAAATTTTCAAAATTTTATCTGTTCCCCTTAAAACTCATCACTCGGGGGTTTTTGGGGTCGCTGATTACGAATCTGAAGTCAGATTTTCAAAATTCAAAATGGCGGATCCAATATGGCGGACAAATTTTCAAAATTTTATCTGTTCCCCTTAAAACTCATCATTCGGGGGTTTTTGGGGTCGCTGATTTCGAATTTGAAGTCAGATTTCGAAAATTCAAAATGGCGGATCCAATATGGCGGACAAATTTTCAAAATTTTATCTGTTCCCCTTAAAACTCATCACTTGGGGGTTTTTGGGGTCGCTGATTACGAATCTGAAGCCAGATTTTCAAAAATCAAAATGGCGGATCCAATATGGCGGACTAATTTTCAAAATTTCACCGGTTTCCATTCAAACTTATCACTCGGGGGTTTTTGGGGTCGCTGATTACGAATCTGAAGTCAGATTTTCAAAATTCAAAATGGCCGATCTAATATGGCGGACTAATTTTCAAAATTTCACCGGTTTCACTTAAAACTTATTACTCGGGGGTTTTTGGGGTCGCTGATTACGAATCTGCAGTCAGATTTTCAAAATTCTAAATGACGGATGGAGTTTGTTCAAAAAATTTTTAGAAATTTTTAAATTTTTCTCACTTTCAAATCAATTGTTTGCAGCGGTGACGGTCTTCCACACCACCTAAGAGGTTCCGAATAAGGCGCGTTAGGTTTTTTTTACAGTAAACCTTCGCCAAGAACCCTATTTTAACAAGGTGGATGAATTTCATTATCATGTGAGTCTCGCGAATTTTCAAATTCGATGTAAGCTTTACATATAACAAAATACAAAAAATTGTTCAATTAATATAAAAGAAATTAATTAAATATAATTTTCAGATGGTGATTAAAATAAAATTATTAATTTCAATATAATTAGTTTAATAAAATAATAATTTTAATAACCCCCGAGTGATGAGTTTTAAGGGAAATCGGTGAAATTTTGAAATTTATTCCTCCATATTGGATCCGCCATTTTGAATTTTGAAAATCTGACTTCAGATTCGTAATCAGCGACCCCAAAAACCCCCGAGTGACGAATTTGAAGAGAACAGATAAAATTTTGGATATTCGACCGCCATATTGGATCCGCCATTTTGCATTTTGAAAATCTGACTCCAGTTTCGTAATCAGCGACCTCGAAAATATTAGGAGTCAATGTGTTGTTAAAAACGGATGAAGCCTAAATGAATGACTTAACATTATTGATATATAACTTTTGTTAATTTTTTATCAATGTTGTACCTATTGTTTAAAATAATTATAACTGTATTATACTGTTTTCTATTTTTTAACATATAGTAATAACGATTGTCAATAAAACTATCCATTGGAATTACTGATTGGGTTAAATTTGTAAGAGTTATATCAAATTTTATAAGTGGTACATATATGTACCGGAGGCACGAAAGGGTTAAATTATATATATACATGATTACATTATATATTCCGTCATTTTTACTGACTATTATAGTATGTCAAAATGTACTCAAGGTTTTTCGATTTCTTTTCGTGTATGGTACACAAGGAGGTCGCAAGAATTAGTTTTTTTTTTTTAATTTCCTTGACATTTTGCTGACTTGATAAAAAGTACAAATGAATTCTGTTAATGGAAAATTCTAATACATACTTTGTAGAAATGATTTATAAGCATTAGTTTACAATACATTTTTAATAATTATTTTATAAATTGAAATATGTTTCATGTATTGACATGAGGGTCCATAATATAAGTTCTTTCTGATAATATCTACAAATGAACGAAATCATTTTTTAGTCTATACATTTTGGGTCGGATTTTACCCATGAAAATCATTAGAATTTTCATTTTAAAGAATTTTATTAGATATATAATTATTCTTATGAAATAAAAACTGTTTTTTAAAAACAAATTAAAGGTTTAAAAAAATTGTTGTAATTTTCTAGTCTCACATAAATTATTTTTTTTCCAACTTGTAGTCACTCTGTTACTCTTTTTATTTGTATCAGCAAGCATCCGAATTACGTATAATGGTTTATTAAGGTTACCCATTTCTCTCTCTCTCTCTCTCTCTACATTTCTTTCCCCTTCTTTTCTTCTACCAGACATATACGTCGCATACAAATTGCGTCGTCGGATGTTTATCTGCGAATAGAGGGTTTCGCCTAATATTGAAACTTTATTCAACAATTAATTAGTCATATTTTTCCACAATTTTTCTATCACATTTTAAATAGGTTTAGCGATGTCTTAATTTTTGTAATATGAAAATAGAATGAACAAAAAAATTTAATATTTTATTATTCATTATAACATTAATAATGTAAAATCAATCTTAAATCTTCAACTTGCGATCTACAATAATTATTGTTCTCTTTCTAAACCTTGCTTCCTCTTTTTCCTTGTTCATTAAATTCGACTAATCTGTTATGAACAAGGTTTTATATTATCGCGCGAATTTAAGTAGAGTAATTGTACCAATTACTGCAAAGGCTCCAATTACTGCGATTTCTATAAAATTAGTAAAACTTACTATATTTGAAAATATAAAATTGTTTCAAAATGACTATAATATAATTATTCTGAATGTTATTTAATATTATATCCAAGATGCATATTTCGACTGTTAGCAAATTAATTATTTAATTAATACTGCAGTAATTAGAGCATGTGTATATTCTTCTCATGGTGCTAATACTGCAGTCAATTCAGTCAACCTACACTGAAAAAATTATATTCTAGTTTTAAGAATATTTTTTTGGCGCCTATTTGAGAATATTTCCCATGCACTTTATTCTTAAAATAAGAAACATTTCTTAAATTAAGAATTTTTTTTGTCATTAGAATATTTCTTAATTTAAGAATTGTTTCTTATTTTAAGAATATTTTATTCTAACTTTAAGAATAAAATGCAATGAGCCAAAAGTTCTGAACGTTCAAATGAACAAAATATTTTTTTCAATCTATAAATTATTAAAAATTATGATGGCCATGTAAAATGAAACAGTAAATTAAACAATTATTAAATTAATACCTTCCTTTTTAGATATTTAAAACAATATTTAGTAATAAAATTCGTACATAAAGAAGTTGCAAAAAAAAAATTTCGTTCATTTGAACGTTCAAAATTTTTGACTCATTAAAATGCATAGAAAATATTCTTAAATAGGCGCCAAGAAAATATTCTTAAAACTAGAATATAATTTTTTTTGCAACTTCTTTAAGTACGAATTTTATTACAAAATATTGTTTTAAATATCTAAAAAGAAGTTATTAATTTAATAATTGTTTAATTTACTGTTTTATATAACATTGACATCATAATTTTTAATTGTAATTTATAGATTTCATTCATTTCAACGTTCAGAACTTTTGGCTCATTAATTATTATTATTTCAAATAAAATTTATTTAATTCAAATAAAAATTATTTGGTTCAAGTAAATATTTATTTGATAATAGTCAAGTAATCTAGTATTTGAATCAAGTAAATTTTTTTTCAGTGCAGAATATGTCCTTTTTTAAAAAAAGTTGATATTTTTAAGAATATATAGTTGTTTCTTTTCAAGTTTTAAAGTATATCGTTTCTATTTCAATAAATACCATTTGTGCTTTAATAAAAAGAATTAAATCATTATTTCATTTATAGTTATAGTTTTTCATTATTTTAAAATCGGTCTTGGATTGTAACCCGCAGTATAGTTGGGACATTTACCATAACTTCTATAAAAGATATTATGTGGACCCAAAACCTTTTTAAAAAATAATTTGATATTTTTGGTCCCGTAAAAAATAATTTTCGACACCAACTTCATGGAAGTACTTTTTTTCTATGATTTCTAGAAACATTTAAAAATTCCATTCCTTTTCCATGATTTACATTCTCAAAATTTTGACTAATATTGAACTGTGCCAATTCGTTTATTAAATGAATTAGTAAACATTTTGACTAATTTTCAATCAAAAATGACTAATTGATAGTAGAAAACTACTAATTCAATATTACAGGCTACTATTTCAATTTAGTAAACTTTAATAAATGAATTTATTTTTCTACAATATCAATTAGTCATTTTTGACTGAGAATTAGAAAAAAAAATTTTACCAATTCATTAGATGAAAAAATCGACGCAATTGAGAATTAGTCAAAACTGACTAATTCAGATTTATAGAGAGTAAATTTTGTAGGGAACCCTGGTTAGACCACACATGACAAACTCACAAAATTCATCATATAGGAATCAAGAAAATACGAAACTGAAGTACGCAACGTTTATGATAAACGATTTTTAAAGAAATAATTTTTTAAAATGAAAAATTTTATAATCTTTTGCCTAAAAAATATTTTTGTTTTAATTTGCTGATTATAATGAAAACTACAAGAAATACTTTTTAGGCAAAAAATTATATAATTTTCCATTTTAAAAAATTATTTCTTTAAAATTAGCCGAAAGTTTTGAACGTTCATATATGAACGAAATATTTTTTTCAATCAATAAATTATTAAAAATTATGATAACTATGTTAAATAAAACAGTAAATTAAATAATTATTAAATTAATAACTTCTTTTTAGATATTTTGAACAATATTTTGTAATAAAATTCGTACTTGAAGAAGTTGCAAAAAAAATTTCGTTCATATGAACGTTCAAAACTTTTGGCTTATTCTTTAAAAATCGTTTATCATAAACTTTGCGTACTTCTCAGCTTCGTAAGAAAATGATATTGTGAGACTTGAGCAATATATATATATATAGTTATTATTTCACGCCATATGTTTAATCCTCTTTTCGCTTCTTATCAGATTATTTTTGGTTCAACATAATATAGCGTCTGAATTATCATCTCTCGAGGATTTTCTGTATCATTGCACTGATGAATCTCGGATAATCTCGTCTGGGATTAAATTCCCCAAAATGACCACACTAACTTTACCTCAAAACATTATTGTCAAGTTACAAATATGACAAAATACAAAATATATATATGTATATAAAGTTTTAACTATTATAATGTAGTTTGTTGATTTGTTGTTTGCATGTCGCACTTGTGTATTATATAGAGTTCAGTTTATAATATTATGCATTGCGTGGGAATTCATAATACATGTAAGTAATACACCCAGGCCAACTGTTGTTTTTTGCGTGCTTGGGGGACAATGCCTTCCCTTAGTAACAGCTATTGTATATTAAATATAAAATATCACAAATAAATTTCTCTATAATAAACATCTAAAGAACAAGAATCATTGACTAAAATACAAAAATCATCAACAAGTAAAACTTGTATATATCAAGCATGGAAACAGGTCACGTGTCTCTCTCTTTCTCTCTCTCTTTCAGAGTACTTTAAATCAATCTGTATTTATAATTTAAAAAAAAAACTCGATATCAAGAAAATGGTAAAAATTTTGAAGGATATTTAAGACGTGATAAGAAAAGGCTTTATGTGAAAGAATGTGGTTTCAAAGAGAGAGAGAGAGAGGTTTTACATCGCCCCCTTACAACTTCGGTTTCAGACACACACGTATGTTCATAATTACACATGCGCATACACTCGTCGCACATGGCGAAAACTTACCTCGTTCCCTTCGTTCAATGTACTCAGCGGCTTGCAGAAGGGCAGCAATGCTCATATTTTCCTGATTTGTATTAAATTTGTTCCTTTCCCTCCAAGCCCCCTTTAAACTCTACTCTTGATAAACTGGAAGCGCTCAAAAAAAAAAAAACTTTTTGAGGACACAAAATCACAATTTTTTGTTGTGCGTTTGAAAAACGTAATTTGGGACAAAAAAAAAGAGCTGATTTTTTTTCGATAAAAAGCACACACACACACACGACTTTTTTCCTTCTTTTTTCCAAAATTCTTTTCTTTTGTCTCGTGTCTTCGTCTTCTCCACGATTTTTCGTCGTTGAATTTTTTTTTTTATTCTTTTCACTGTTCCACCACTTAACACGTTTTCACTTTAATCACGATACCAAACTATTGACAGAAATGAAACACTTTTGTAATCACCAGAGAACACACGGCTACTCCACGCCTGCCAAAGCGATTTGATAACCGATGATTTTAGGAGATGCACACATTACTTTGCAAAACGCTAAACTATAACCAACTTTAAATTTTCTTTTTTCTAAAAAAATGTGGGAGGTAAAGAAAATTGCACGTTTTTTTTTTTTTTATTGCATCTTGCGTGATTTTGAATCACGTTCTTTTCGCGCCTTTTTAAGCCCCTCTTTTTTGGAAAAAAAAAAAAAATTCGTGACGTTATACAGCGCGCGCGATTGGTTTCTACGCCGCAAACAAAAAACTCGATCTCACTCTCCCTCTCTTATATTCTCGTGCCTTTTAGCTTTTTCTCCCGTCACTCCAACTCCAATTTATGTACTCATGGAAAAAGAACTGCTATATACTCCAAAGCAGAAACAATATGCGCCTTTGTTCTTTCTTTGAGGTTATATTTGGTCAGAAATGGGTGGGAAGGGGGGGAGTCTCACCGTTACGCGAATTTAACCTTGATTACCGGGTCAGCGAGAGCAACTTTCGTCCCCTAATTTACTAATTGGACACCTGGAATGGTAATACACCACTGTCAGTCGGGTTTGCGTCAGAGCTAAGTGATTGTTGTTGCCCACACAGGGCTATTTGGAATACAGAAATAATAAATTGTGCTCAAAACACAATTTATTTTTATTTATTATATATAGGGACAAAAGTTTAAAACACTTGAGAACAGGGCTCTTTAAATTGAAAATACGCGTGTGACACAACACACAGAAACACGCGCACACACACAAACACAACACGATATCACTGAGAAATCACCTCCGCCAAACACTAAAATACTCGCACCAAACTCGGAGATCAGAGAAACGCGTGATTTAAGCGCGGAGAAAAAAACAGGTCTACAGAAGTCAGGCGACCGTTCGACTGCGTGCTCGCCGACTGGTCTAGTGGTCTTTGTATGCGTAGGAAACGTGTGTGCGCGTGGCTGCGTGCGCGTTCAACTGCATTCGATGGAAAAATGTGTGAGTAAACGTCAAGAAGCACGGGGTAGATGTTATTATACACACAAATACAATTTAGGGGGAAAAAAAAAGAAAGAAACTTTTCTCATCTAGCACGATATAGATTTTTCTTCTTTCGAATAAATTTATAAATTGTTGGCAATTTAGAAGCGAGCTCGATATTTTACAAAAGGTTCTCCTTTTACATTCGGTCATCGAACGCAGCGACAGGAGTAGCGTAACCTTGCCTGGTGTACAAGGTTGGAATTAAAAAAAAAAAAAAGTAGATAATAACACTTTCGATACACTTTGGCTTTAAAATGATAATTGAGGAATAATAATTATTTAAATGTAAACCCAAAAAAAATAAAAACTAACCGACGACGACGAGCCGACGAGCCGACGACTACGACGAACGACAACCTACACCTCCGCACTTCGCGAACACTCTCACGCATTTATCGATGTCAAACCAGTCAAACGACTGCACTGTAGAAGCAGTGAGATTTGCCTATAAACGAAAATCTGATTGGTTGTCCAGTGCGCGAGTGCATTGCAACAGCCAATAGAAATTATTGTTTCTTTATTGCCGTACGTGTCGCCACCAGCGCCGGCCGTGACCGTGTCACGTGAATCTCATGCTTTGAAAACAAAACAAACAGCTGCCTTTTATTACATTCGTTTGCCTTTGTTTTGCTTGTCTCAAATTCTATAACTCTTTGATTTCGGTGTAAACGTGCTCTGAAAATAAAATATGTCAGTTTTTTTTTCTTATTATTATTACAAAAAGAACAAAAGTTGCAAAGTAATTGAATTTAAACTTTTTGAGGTTATATTTTTATTTTGTATTTTTTTCTTGGAGGGAAAGTTTTTATTAGAATTGGTTTTTTTGTACAAGTGTTAAGGGTTTAATTACACTGTCCGACAATGATTTTGCCCCTCGGATAATTCCGGTCACTTTCGATAGATTTTTACACGCTGATTACGAATCTGCAAATAAAAATGATCTAGTACGTCCAGTTTCTGAGAAAATTAGTGTTAAAAAGTCGAAAATGCGTGTTTTTGGCCATATTTGAATTTGAATAAAATAAAAACAAGAGGTGCTAGAATCTTGTTCTTGGGTTCAAATGAAAGCTTGAAACTTAAACAACAATTCCATGAAGGGAAAAATTAAAGGCATAATGATAAGGCTGTTAAAACTTATTTTTTCATTTGCGATTAATTTTGTCATTTTTCATAATCAACGAACACCGTGTATAACCTTAATAGTTTAAAACAAGTGACAAACAAGTGAATGAAACATCATTCGAATTTGAAAATTTTTCACGTGACTTTCAGGTTACTTATTATCTATTAATTTTTAAACTTACCTTCTTTAAACCATATTTAAATAAGATAATGTTCACTATACAGTTTTTTGAAGACTTCTGCAGAACGCTGGGCCGAATTGTTTTTATTAACAAAATACAGTAATAAATAATTAACTTTCAATTATTACATATAGGTTAAATTAATATTTAAATAAAAATTTAAAAATTTTATAAAAAATGTTTTTGTTAATCAAAAATTTTAATTAATTTTATTTTTCGGATATATTTTTATTTTAATTTCATTTATTTGAAAATTCAGATATATAAATGAAGATTACAAAGAGCAATAAATAAATGGAAATATGGCTAAATGATGTTTATTTAGCAATCCAAATGTAGACAAACTTTTCTCGTCTTTCTAAATTTTATAAATGTTTTTTCAGACAATAATAATTTTAATTGTAAATTTACAATTGTAAATAACGAATAAATTAAAAATTTAAATACACAAACTTTGAAAATTAAAACCAGAAAAAAATTGCAAAATTAACAAAATTAAACTGATTTTAAATAATAATATCTTTAAAGTGTGAATTTTAAAAATATGAATATTAAAAATTCAAAGACATCTTTTGAAAATTTTTTAAGATATATTTTGAAATTTTTTATCTATCGTATAGAATTTTAAATATTGTATTTGTGTATTTTATGTTAAATGAAACTAATAAGATGTTAATTATATAAACTTTTTTAGGTGTATTGTGAAATTTTGTTATTTGTGATAATTATTTATTATTTATTAAAGTTTGTGTGTTTATACTCGTCACGATTGACGAAAATAGTTAATAGAAAATTAATTAGATAATAAGTAACCTGAAAGTCAACTGAAAAATTTTCAAATTCGAATGATGTTTCATTCACTTGCTTGTCACTTGTTTCAAAATGTTAGGGTTATATACAGTGTTCGTTGAATATGAAAAATGACAAAATTAATCGCAAATGAAAAAATAAGTTTTAACAGCCTTATCATTATGCCTTTAATTTTTCCCTTCATGGAATTGTTGTTTAAGTTTCAAGCTTTCATTTGAACCCAAGAACAAGATTCTAGCACCTCTTGTTTTTATTTTATTCAAATTCAAATATGGCCAAAAACACGCATTTTCGACTTTTTAACACTAATTTTCTCAGAAACTGGACGTGCTAGAGCATTTTTATTTGCAGATTCGTAATCAGCGTGTAAAAATCTATCGAAAGTGACCGGAATTATCCGAGGGGCAGAAAAAAAAATCATTTTTGTCGGACAGTGTTATTAGATGCAAAAAATGTTGACATGAAATTTTTTTTTTTTTTTATTGTGTAAGTATATTTTTATTATACGCTTTTTTTAAAATTATTTTAATGTTTTATTATATATTTTTCAGGAAATTTGTAATAAAAATGCTGTAATTATAATATTCTCTTTTATAAATGTGGGTTTTATGCATTATTTCAAAATTCGCAATAAGAGAAGATGAATAACATTTTTTTTTAATCTGGTCATTAAACAGGTGGATCAATTATTATTGACAGGATGTGATGTACCTTGCAAAAAAAAGATGACAACACAGCATGAATTCAAAATCTGATTCAAATTGTAAGTTTTTATTTATAATTCTATTTAGTCGTATAATATACTCTTTTTAATGATTAATATTTTTTTTCTTTTTTTATATTTTAAAATTCACTATATGAAAAATTATATATTAAATTAAAACATTTTTAAAATTATTAATTAAATTGAATGGTGAATTTCGAAAAGGGCTCAACTCTAAAAAGGCTAAAAGTCATTTTCACTATCAATTATTATGCGAAAATGACACTTACGCTTTTTCGAGTTGAGCCCTTTTCGAAATTCACCATTCAATTAATTTAATAATAAAAGTAGGTATTAAATTAAATAAATTAAATTAAATTTTATAATTATTATACAAAAATTATTAATAAAAAGCAAATATTTGTTTTTATTAAGAATAAAAAATTAATTAATTAAAGTACATTATTAAACTATATTGTTACTTGACAAAAGAATGAACTTGTTTTTTCGATATACACGATAAAGAACGTCTGCCTGGCAGACAACTCATAAATATTGTGATTTTTAAATTCATGAAAACATGTATATAAACGAACTATACATAGCACGGTGAATTTATTCGCAATGTTATCAGTTGCGATAAGAAGTCTTTTTTAAATGCTGTCGAAACAGACAGCTAGTCACCAGAATTAAAAAAAAATAAATACAATTTTCTATATTGAACATTATTTTTTAGTAAATCAAAATACATTAATTTTTCATCACTGTTACAGTAGATTTGAATTTGACATTTTTTGTAAAAATCATTGAAATTATATTTAATTTATATATACTACATTGAAAAATTTATCATAATCTTTAATTGATATTATTTATAAATCGCACTAAAAAATATATATATATAAATTTTTGTATAAATGGCAAAATTCGCCAAAAATAATTGAAAACAAAGGCTATTTTTTAAAAAACAATTTACATTTTTGACATTGGAGTTATTCCAAAAATGGAAAGTGAATTTTCCAAAACAATAAGTATACTTTGTAGTAAATAAATTCTCGCCATCACCGTTGGCATTAAATGACTATAACCGTCCTGAAAAAAAAATTTCATTTTATTACAATTTTTAAATATGAAATAAATATTACAATTTTTTTTTTTTTTTTTTTTTGCAATAGTTGCTGCCAAATTATAACTTTTCTGAAAATTTTGTTTTTTTAATTTTTGAAATGATTTTTATATTTTATTAAATGACGTCAGTGAAGTTTACAACATTTATGATCAACGATTAAATATTAAAAATATTTTTCACGTAAAAAATGATAATATTTTTTGCTTAAAAATTTTTGTTTTAGGAATTTATTGATCGAGAAACGTTTCAAAAAATTTTTTAGACAAAAAATTATAATAATTTGTATAGAAAAATAATTTTTGTTCTAAATCATTAATCATAAATATTGTGAACTTCAACGACGTATTAAATGTTGAAATTTTAAAAATTTGTTTAAATTAAAAATTTTTTAAACTTAATTATTAGATTAATTAAGTAAAAATTAAAATTTTTTGTTATTATTGCTTCCAAACTGTTACTTTTCTGAAAATTTTGCTTTTAACTTTTACAAAGTAAATTTTATATTTTATTTGTCTGAAGTTCTGAACGTTCAAATGAACGGAACAATTTTTTTTGGTATATAAATTTTTTAAAAATAACTACAGCTATGAAAAATAAAAACGAAGCTGAAGTACCCAACGTTTATGATAAATGATTTTTAAAGAAATAATTTTTTAAAATGAAAAATTCTATAATTTTTTGCCTAAAAAATATTTTTTTTATAATTTGCTGATTAATGAAAACTACAAGAAATATTTTTTAGGTGAAAAATTATAGAATTTTTCATTTTAAAAAATTATTTTTTTAAAAATAGTTTATCATAAACGTTGCGTACTTCAGCTTCGTAAAATAAAAAAAGTACATTGAATATTTAATAAATTATTCCTTTATTTTTGAATACAGAAATCAATATTTTATAATAAAATTTAACTTAAAAAAGTAGTAATCAACGTTCAGAATTTCAGGCAGATATTTTAATAAATGTTGAGATCGGTAAATTTTTTATTAAATTTGCTTTTGAAATATTTATATTTATATTTATTTTCTTTGTAAAAAATTTCAACATTATGTAAAAAATGAAAATGAAGCCATTATTATATTTTTTATATTTTAAGACATTGCACTTAGATTACAAAACAGATTAGGAAATTTGCAATATAATCAAAATAGAAACTACCTCCAAAAAAAACATTTTCAAAATTACAATTATCCATAAAAAAAATTAGTTTTTAATGTCATTTTCGAGTTTACGAGGCAAAAATGCATAAGAAAAATATAGTTCCATTTAGCGTAAAAAAAATGGTTGTAAAACTGTGTTATTTTAGCAACAACTACTTTAAATAATATAAAATTTATGAAACATTTCATACTTACGACTAAAACACGACTTCTTCTATAATATATACTAAAATGTTGACAAAGTTTACTCAAAAAGGAGCAAATATACTGTGGACATGCTTCTAAAGTTGGTTTGTGTTTAACACAGCCCTGTATCATCTCAGGATATTGTAGAATATAATTAAAAACCAGTTCCCATTCTTCCTGGAGAAAAAATTTTATATATATTTTTATTAAGTCCCTGAAGATGTGAATTTTTTTTTTTTTTAATAATTATTTTTAATATACAGTAAGAAAAGTACCATGGTAGTCATAGGAAAGCATGCGTTACGCATAAGTTTGTCTCACTCGCACTCATGGGCTGTGACTACCATGGTACTTTTCTTACTGTAGATACAATATTAAAAAAAAAATATATATATTTTACCTCTTGAGAAAGACAGAGGAAATCGATATTGTCGACGTTTAGAAGCTTTGGATATTTTCCAGCAAGCACTTTTTCTTCATATTTATTTAAAATTGCTTTTATTCTTGCAGTGTTATACAAGATAAAAGCTGCCTCTGAAAAATAATTTTGAAATTGTAGAACAGAAAAGATTGATGTTCTTGACATTTTGAATGCTCGCATGTAAACGAAATTTTTATTTGTTTTTATTCAAATATTTCTTAAAAAATGTTGAAAGTAAAAAAAAAATTTTATTTAATAAATTCTTAATTTATTTTTATTATTTTTTATTTTATTTTATTTTTATGTTAATTATTTTTTAACGAATGAGTTTTATATTTTGTATTTTTAAATATTTAACATTTTTGAAATTATACTAGTAATAAAAATACAAATGAAAAAAAAAAATAGTAAAAAAATTTGGTTCGTTTAAACATTCCGAACTTGTGAAAAATTCACTTACTTAAAATGTAATTAAATTAAAAGAAATTACAAATTTTTAAATTTATTTTAATTAAAATAATTAATTATTATTAAAAGGAAAAACATTAAAATTTACTTTTAAAAGTTGAAATAGTTGAATTGAAATATTTGAATAGAAATAAAAAATTACGTTTCTGTGTAAATCTTCAAAAAGTTAACTTTTTTTATATATGACTTTTTTTAAATTCTTTACGTTCTGAATGTTAAAAATGTTTTTTTACAATCGTTTAATCATTTACAAAAGAATCGGACAAACAAATGAAACAAAAATTAAGTTGAACTTTATGTTTACGTATATTTAAATAAAAAAAATAATTTACACTTTAAAACTGTTTCAGTGCAACTTTAAAACAAATTTTTTTTAATGAGCCAAAAATTTTGAACGTTCAAATGAACGAAATTTTTTTTATAAATTCTTTAAGTACAAATTTTATTACAAAAAATTGTTTTAGATATCTAAAAACAATTTACTTAATTTAATAATTGTTTAATTTTTCACACTTTTAATGAAAATAGCGTTAATTGGAATTTATTTATTTCTTTTACATTGTAATACAAAAATCACAATCGACTGATAAATTTATCATTATATTAAAGGAATTATTTTTGTTTTCACAATCCGTTTGTTTTTCTTTAAATATTTTTTAATTTGAAATTTTTTACATGAAAAATTGATCAAAAATATTATTTTATTTTTTATAATTTCATTAAAAATTTTCATTAGACATTTTCGTTAAACAATTGCAAGATTTGTCAGAATATTTGATTTGATATTTCAAAATCATTTCAAATTTATTATAAAAATTTTAAAATATTGAAATTTCTTATAAGAATTCGAAAAAAATATGAATTTAAAAAAAAAATGGAAAAAATTAAATTATTTTTGAAATATCTTACTCGAATGTTAATCAAATTTTATTTTTTAAGTCTTATTTTTTTGATAGTATCAAATTTTTAATAAACGTCAGAGTAAAAATACTAATTTTAATGTTTTTTTATGTTTGTGAAATTCACAACGATTGAAACAAAAAAAATATTTTTTACTTAAAAAATAATAAAAATTTTGTCCTAAAATTTTTGTTAATCGTGAAGCATTGTAAAAAATATTTTCAGCCAAAAAAAATTCTGAAAATTAAAAGACAAAAATTCACTTTTGAAACATCAGTTTTTTTTCAATTAAAAACAAAATCTAGAACATACCTTTCAATGTATCGTCGGAAGTATCAAATTTTTTCAAAACCACAGAGCGACTAGGCTTTACTGACAAAAATTCAAATTTTACAGCTGTCGTTGCAATTTGTTTTATATTCTCATCATCATCTTCTCCATTGTCTTTATTTTGATATTTATGAGCATTTAATTTCTTTAATTGCTCCTTTTTACTAGATAAATAAGAATTCCACGTTATAGATTTTTCTTTGGAATTATTTTCTGAATTTTTGACAACACCACAGACAATTTTTTTATAATTTTCTTCTACAATACCCTCAGATTTTGTTGTCAATATATAATTGTTATGATTTTTTTCCGTTATAATTTTATATCCTTGTAGTTGTAAAATACGTTGAAAAAAATCTTTCAAAAAATTCAATCGTTGATTAGATAATTCAGCTTCATTGTCGATTTGAATTTTAAATGTAAAACTTTCGTCAACCAATGCCTTTTGACCATATGACAAACCATTGTTTAAAGCATTTTTTATGGCTAATGATAGTGCTTGAGGTCTGTTTAGAAATAGACATAATCTTTCTTTTTGTAATGAAAATGAATTAATTTGTAGAGACCATTCGTGAGATTTTAATTCTATTAAATTAAAAGCCTGGAAATAGAAATGAATAATTAATAAAATTAAGTAGCATACTGTTTAGAATTTTAAATTTATTTTAAATAATCAAAAATTTCATATAAATTTTTTTCTGTGTAAAATTTAGTTCAGAAATTTTGATTTATAGATAAAAACGATAATTTTAGAAATGAACTATTATTTTAATTACTATATTAATTTTACTATTAAATTATTATTTTAATTTTAAATTAAATCTTTAACGTTTCTTGATTTATATTGTAAATATTTAAAAACGAACGAAAAGAACAGAAACGAAATTTATTAAGTGAATAATATTACACCACTCGTAATTATTACCAATATAATTATTTATTTGCTCTTTAAATTTCTTTCAAAAGATAAAAATTAACAAATTTTATTATGTATTTTTAAATTTATTATCTTAATTTTTATTAATTGTTTGATTTAAATTATTTTATTTTATTGTTTACTTCAAAATATTTCATTTACTCCGAAAAAAAATTGAGGTTATGTTACTGTATTATTTTTCTCTATCATTTCGATATTATTTCTTTGCAGATTTATTTACAAATTTTTTTTATAAAACTACTCACCTTTTGTACAATTTCATCAAATGTTGAACAATTTTCAATTGCATTCTTATTTTTCACGTAGTAGTCTAAAATATTATTTGATGTTAAATTATTGTCACTGCCATTTGGTACATAGTCTTTCCAAACTTGACGATTGATTAGAAAACTTAATTCTCCGTTCCTCGACAATTTTTCACAATTTATTTTAATAATACTAGAAGTATTTGTCTCTAAATTAGTTAGTTCATAAAATATATTGTTCACCAGATTACTCACGTGATAAGTTATTGAATTTTCCATCAGGAGCATCTGTTGTTATATGTATATAGGAAGAAACTAACCTCAAAAACAACTTTACTCATTTTCTCAGTATATATATTTTTTACGATACTGAATGAGTACTGATTTAAATTCATATTTATTTATTTAATGAATTTTGCAGGTAAATTAATTAAATTTTTTTTTCTGTTCATTTTACAATTTTCGTTAATTGTTAGATAATTTTTTTTATAAATATATTAAACAATCAAATAAAATATTGGAAATTATAAATCTATTATGAATTATTGTTAAGAGTAAATTGTTTAATGTATAGATTTTCAATTTTTTTATTTACAATAACGAAATTGTGCACAAAAATTTCTATAATTTGTATAATATAAACATTTATAATAATTCTATTGAAAAATACATATTTATACATTCATTTTATGTTTTTATGAAAGTTATTATTACAGAATGAAATGCATTACAATATTTCTAAATAAAATTTTGAAATTTGTGAAATACTTACAAGTTTATATTTATGGGGCAATTACAGATGAGATTTTTATTCAAAAAAAAGTTTTTGAATGCAAATTTCACATGATATATGCCTCATATTATAGACTAAAACATTCTTCGCTATTCAATTATTATTTTAATTAAATACAAATTATATTTAAAATTCTTAAGTCAACATTTGATTGGCATGGAATGATGATATTTGACATATGCTATCGCTGCAAGTTCTTTGCAAAATTCTTCAGTAATAATCACACTTTCAAATAAAATATTCTCTATCGCTCTGAAATAAATTAACATTATGATGTAAAATTATATAGATTATTTCAATTAAAAATTGTTTTGACTGAATTCGTTTCAAATTAGACAGGATGAAAAATCGTCGGAGCTGAAAATAAATTTTTTTCCTTCGAAATATTATTTTTCAAAGTTTTTTTAAACGACAAGTATTTTTTTGTTTGGATGAAATAAATTTTTTTATGAAGTTACAACGAATTTAATTTTCCAATTCGCAGACAACAAAAGTGGTTTCATTTTTAAAAATGTAAAAAAAATGTCTTTTGATATTTTTCTATATTTTGCTTTGTTTTCGATATGTTTTGGAAAATTTAATTTGAATAGTAACAGTATATTTTTACTATAAATAAAAAGAAAAAAGAAAAAATGTCCATAACAAAAAATATTGCAAAACATATCGAAAACAAAGCGAGATAGAGAAAAATATCAAAAGACACTTTTTTTCATCTTTTAAAAAGGGACAAATTTCGTTAGAGAAATTTTTTTATCGCTATTGTATTTCATGGGAAAAATGTAATTTTTCTCTTTATCAAAATTTTTAAAAAAATATTTTTTCAAACACAAGTTAAATTCTTATGACAAAAAATTCTTTGGGGTGGGGTTTTTGAGTAATTTGAATTTAAAGGTTTTTGAATATTTTTTAATTTTTCTACCGGATTTTCAAAGAGGAGCAAAAACTCTTTCATGTCAAAAAAGAAAAAATTAAATATTCCGATGTGACAAAAAATTATAACACTTAAAAGATTTTTTTTTTCTCAATTTTAAGATAAACGAATATTCCGACTTGGAAAATTAAATTCATTGTAATTTCGTAAAAAAAAATTAATTAAAAAAAAAATGTTTATGATCAATGATTGAGAAGAAAAACTATTTTTCTATAGGTACAAATTATTATTATTTTTGATCTAAACAATTTTTTGCAAGGTTTCTTGATCACAAGACTCGTACCAAAAAAGTCGATGTTTTTAATTTAATTATATTCAATTAGTTAATAAGTACTTTACTTTAAATAACTAATGTTATTAGTGATATTAAATATATTTTATTAATTCCACAATAAGAATAATTCTATAGGAATATTATCAAGAAAATTTATTTCGAATATTTCAGAACCGAAGACGTGAATTTTAAAAATTTTAATTAAGTAGGACACATTTCTAAAAAAAATTCTTACAACAATTCAATTTTAGAGTTTTTCTTTGAAACTTTTTAAATAATTTAACTTTCAAAGAGTTATAGTTGAAATTTTTAGAAATAATTAAATTTCAAAAGATTTTTTAAAATTTCAGACAATAATTAAATTTTACAAAATTGAAAATAATTTATCAAATAATTTTAGACAACATATTTTAAAAGTAATTGAATTTTCAAAGATTTACAATTCAGATTTTTAAAATTAATTGAACTTCAAGTGATTTTTAATTGAAATTTTTGATGATGAAGAATTTATTAGAAATTACAGACAAAAATTGAATTTTTGAAGAATAGGTATAAAAATCATTTAAAATCATTAAATTTTGACCCCTATGAAGTTGGCGTCGAAAATTATTTTTTATCGGACCAAAAATATCAAATTATTTTTAAAAAGGTTTTGGGTCCATATAATACCTTCAAAAGTATTTCCCAAGGTATTATTTGGACCAAAAATCTTTTAAAAAAATTAAATTTACATTTTTGGTCCTGTGAAAAACAATTTTCTGCTCTGAGCGTCGACTCCAACTTCTTGGAGGTAAATTTTGAAAGAGTTACAGTTGACATTTTTAGAAATAATTAAATTTTAGAAGGCTTTAAATTGAAATTTTTGAAAATAATTGAACTTCAAGTGATTTTAATTCAAATTTTTTGAGAATTTCTGTTGCTGAAGAATTTCATTAAAAATTAAAGACAAAAATTGAACTTAAAAATTTTTTTATTGAAAAATGCTTTCAGATAATTTGAATTTTCGAAGAATATTGTAAAAATCATTTAAAATATAAAAAAAAAATTGAATTTCGAAAGAGTTATAATTGAAATTATTAAATTCCAAAAAGTATTAAATGGAAAATTTTAAATAGGTATTAAATTGAAATTTTTGGTAATTTTATTGGCATTTTTTTTTTAAATTATAAAATAGTTTTTTAAGATAATTAAATTTGTAAAGAATTACATTAAAATTATTAAAAATAATTAATTTAGAGAAAAATTTTAGTTAAAAACTTGTTAAATAATTGAAATAAAGAAAATCTGAAGAAAATCTGCAGTTTATACTTAAAAAGACGAATTTTGTTTAAAAATTTTGTAAAAAACAAGTCGAAAAAGTCGCATTTTATTTAAATAAGTCAAAAAAAGTCGTATTTTCGAAAAAAAAATCAGAAAAAGTCATATAATCCAAGGCCGGTGATTAATAATTTTTGGAAAAAAAATTTGTAGGCAAAAAATTAGTGTATTAATTTTTTGAGTGAAAAATATTTTTTTTTTCCAATCGTTGATCATAAACATTGTGAACTTTACCGACGTAAAAAAGCAACGTAACGTCTAAAAATACTTTGAAAAACAACATTTTGGAGAAAAAATTGATTTTCAGTTTCGACGATGATTTTGAAATTATAATTCAATTTTTTAATTTTATATAACATTCAAAATTATACATACGGATCGATGCATGAATCCTCCAGTAGTCTATGTCTTGTCTCTTTGAGAAGTTGCTTGTAATTTGGGGTTTTTTGCACTTCGCTCATCAAGTGTTTTACAACTCTTTGTAGGCAAATAAACAAACTTCGATTACCAGCAGTCAATGGTATCAGTGGATTTAAAAGAAACTCGTGTAGATATGGATGAGGTAACAGTGCTAATTTAGATATCACAATAGTTAATTGCAAATTGATATCGTGTTTTTGATTAGCTAAATTGTTGATTTTTTCCAAAAGCATTGACAAAAATGGACCCATATAAAATCGAGTCGAACCATGATCAGCTTCTGGCCTCGAATCAGAACTAGCAGAATCGTCCACTGTCACTGCTTCCAAAGGCCATGCAAATAGAGCACAATCTGCAAATACTATTGAATATTGTTTCTCCCAATCGAGCATATAACGTTCATATCGATTTGCTTCAAAATCTGTTTGTAGTTGTCTTGGTATCAGTGACAAGAAACTGTAAAAAAAAGTAGAATTAAAATTTAGTTTTTTAAAATTTCGAGACAAAATTCGAATTAGGAAATAAAAATTTTGAAATTGAAATTCAAGAATTATTATTATCTACTCATACCAATTGAGAATTCTGTGAATATTGCTTGGTGCTAGTGTTCGACTATGATTAATTCCACTTGATAAATCAAGTGAACTTTTCTTTTCTCTTTCTCGTTCATCTTCTTCATCACTCCAAGAAGCAATTGCACTATCAGCAGCACTATTGTCATAATATCCTCGATTTGTTAAGTACGTTAAAACAAGACAATGTAATATGTGCTCATTTCTTTTTTCAATCATCTCTTCAAACAATTTCAATGTCTCAACAGTCAGATCATCACTGTCGGTGCAACAATTGTCAATTAATCTATGCAAAACTGGCCATGACCAAAAATTCGGAATATCGGGATTTCTGTGCTGTCCAACCAGCCAGAAACTCATTTCTATAAAGTAAATAATTTTTAATTACACAAAAAGAAAGTAAATATTAAATTTTATTAATTTTCAAATTTTTAACTAAAACTCTTTTCTAAATTAATTATTTTTAAGAATTTTAATGAAACTCTTCACAAATTCAATTATTTTAAATTATTTTTCAATTAAAATTTTTTATGCAATTCAACAATTTTTTACATTTTAAAGAAAAAATCAAATAAAATTAACCAAAAATTTCAATTTAAAATCTTTTAAAATTTAATTATTTTCAAAATTTTCCGTCTAAAACTTTTTGGAATTTAATAATTTCAATTATAACTCTTCCGAAATTCAATTATTTTTATATTTTTAATGATTTTTATAATATTCTTCGAAAATTCAATTATCTGAAAGCATATTTGAATAAAAAAATATATAGTTCAATTTTTGTCTTTAATTTTTAATCAAATTCTTCAGCAACAGAAATCACCAAATAATTTCAATTTAATACCTCCTAAAATTTAATTATTTCTAAAAAATATGTCAACTTTAATTCTTCCAAAATTTAATGTTTCTTAATTATTTTTTATATCTATTCTTCAAAAATTCAATTTGAAAGCATTTTTCAATAAAAAACTTTTAAAATTCAATTTTTGTCTGTAATTTCTAATAAATTCTTCATCATCAAAAATTTCAATTAAAAATCACATGAAGTTCAATTAATTTCAAAAATCTGAATTGTAAATCTTTGAAAATTCAATTACTTTTCAAATATGTTATCTAAAATTAATTGATAAATTATTTTCAATTTTGTTAAATTTAATTATTGTCTGAAATTTTAAAAAATCTTTTGAAATTTAATTATTTCTAAAAATTTCAACTATAACTCATTGAAAGTTCAATTATTTAAAAAGTTTCAAAGAAAAACTCTAAAATTGAATTGTTGTAAGAATTTTTTTTTAGAAATGTGTCCTACTTAATTAAAATTTTTAAAATTCACGTCTTCGGTTCTGAAATATTCGAAATAAATTTTCTTGATAATATTCCTATAGAATTATTCTTATTGTGGAATTAATAAAATATATTTAATATCACTAATAACATTAGCTATTTAAAGTAAAATACTTATTAACTAATTAAATATAATTAAATTAAAAAAATCGAATTTTTTTGAAATGTAAATCGACTAAAATGATTTTTTTGCGCCGTAAAGTCAATCCAAGGCCTGGAATTAAATTTTATTTGTTTCAAATACAGAAATTATTGGTTGAAATAAAGTTTATTTAATTTAAATAAAAATTATTCGGTTCAAATAAATATTTATTTGATAATAATAATAGTCAAGTAACCGATTATTTGGAATCAAATAAATTTTTTTTTCCATGTACTTTACTAAAAAATATTTATTTTCTTTCCTTGTAAAAAGATGACTTGTATTTATTAATTTTTGAAATTATTGCTTTATGTAGTGAAAAAAAATTATTTAATTCAAATAAAAATTACTTAGTCCAAGTAAATATTTATTTGATAATAGTCAAGTAATCGATTATTTGAATAAAATAATGTTTTTTTTCAGTGTGGTAAAATAAAAAAATTATCGATAACTGATTGGAGAATATTTACCACGACTCAAATAATGGGATGTAATTTCCTTGAAGCATTTTGTAATTAAAGAAGTCACCAATACAACGTGATGCTCAGAAAGTGCTGGTGTTAAAATTGTTTCGAAAAATTCAATTCTTATTGTTTTAGCCACAATTTCGGCAATTTTTTGATGTGCTTCCTTTATGAGTTGATCACAAAAATCTAGCCACATAAAAAATGCTGCAACACGTCGACAACCGGGAAATTTTTTCTCACTCGTTAATAGAGGTGAATCTAAACCCCAAGTTACTTCAATGTCGTCAATTTCATTGGGAAAAACGTGAGCCGGTATGGCATTAAAGAGAATTTCTAAACGTTTTGATAGAATTAATGGAAGATCACTTTGAGCTATCGAAGTAATGAAGGATGTATCTTCCAAGGACGCTAATACCATTATTCCTTCGCATGCTCTTATTCGTACTGTGTTGTCCTGAAATTTGAAATATTTTTGAATATTTATTTATTTAAATTCAATCAAAACCAAGAAGTATGAATAAGTTTTAAAATTAATTTGTTAGAATTTTTATTTCATAGAATTTCATTAAGTAGAATTTATTTTTAGCCGAATTTTTATTTCTGTGAGTAATAAATTTTTATTTTACAAAAAGAATTTTTATTTCTATCCAAATTTTGATTATTGCTCTTTTCTACATTTGACAGAATTCATAAAACGCTGAAAATTTTTCTGGCAGATATTTATTCGAACATATAAAAATTCGTTTATAAGTAATAATTAATTTTCATGATGTAGAAATTCATGTTAGCAGGCTTTGAAGTGACACAATTTTTTAGTTTTTTACTACTAATTTTGGCCAAAAGCCACTAAATGCTACTTTTCTCAAAAAAATAATTTTAAAAATGAAAGAATTCAAGAATTTAAATTTTAGCGAATTTTTTTATTCCTAAAAGCTCTCCAAGTTGATGATTTATTATTTGCCGCGTGAACTACTGCTTTATATAATTATTTTTTACCCGAATTTTTATTTTTCAAAATAGCATTTAACACAATTTCTTTTTAAACGACATTTTACTCAAGTGGAATTTTTAATTTTTCAAATTTTTTTTGACAGAATTTTTATTTTACAAAATTTCTCTTTACTCAACCGTTTATTTTAAATAATTCTAATTTAACCGAAATTCAGACAATAATTGAATTTTAGAGTATTTTGAATATTGAAACCTCCATGAAGTTAGCGTCAACGCTCAGCGCTGAAAATTATTTTTCACGGGACCAAAAATGTTAAATTATTTTTTTTTTTAAGATTTTCAGTCAAAATAATGCCTTGAGAAATACTTTTTAAGTTATTATGTGAACCCAAAACTTTTTTAAAAATAATTTGATATTTTTGGTCCCGTGAAAAATAATTTTCGACGCTGAGCATCGATGCCAACTTTATGGACGTGAATTGAAAATGTTTTAAATAATTGAAATGCCAAGATCTTGATTAAAGATTTTAGAAATAATTATTTCAACAAAAAATTTGAATCAAAATTTTTAATAATAATTGAATTTCAGGAGATTTTGAATTAAAATTTTTGTAAATTAGAATTGCTGAAAATTATATTAACAAAATTTCAAACAGTAATTGAATTTTAGATAATTTTTAATTCAAAAATGTTTTATTTAATTGAATTTTTGAATAATTGGATTGAAATTATTAATTTAGCAAAGAATTTTAGATACAAATTTTAAAAATAATTGAATTTTGTAAGAATTCGAGTTAAGATTTTTAGAAATAATTGAATTTTTGGAGATTTTTAATGAAAATCGTTGTTTTAAAATATTGAATATTTTATATAAGCTTCCGATTCCAAGTTCTAGGATTTAAAAATTCGAATTGCTTAAAATTCTACTGAATGAGAATTTTATTAAATTAAAAATAAGTTAAATTAGAATTCTTTTCAAGAAACAGTTGGGTAAAGAGAAATTTTGTAAAATAAAAATTCTGTCAAATAAAAATTCGTTACTTTGAAAATTCCGTTGAGTAAACATTCGTTTAAAAAGAATTCTGTAGAAAATGCTATTTTGTAAAATAAAAATTTATATTAAAAATCATTTTTATAAAATAATCATACTCTCCTACCGTTGTGCCAAAAACAAAAAGTTAATCGAAATTTAACAATAGATATTTTTTTTTTTAAATAATCATGAGAAAAATAATGTTAATTTTATTCCTTAGAAATTTTCTTTCAATTTTTACGAAGCTGAAGTACGCAACGTTTATGATAAACAATTTTTAAAGAAATAATTTTTTAAAATAAAAAATTCTATAATAATATTTCCTGTAGTTTTCGTTAATCAACAAATTATAAAAAAAATATTTTTTAGGCAAAATATTATAGAATTTTTCATTTTAAAAAATTATTTCTTTAAAAATCGTTTATCATAAACGTTGCGTACTTCAGCTTTGTCAATTTTTTTTAGACAAGAACCATTTTAACGTCAAACTTAGAAAACTAATTTTACTTCATTTTAAAAATGCCTCTTTTTTCATAAGTTTTAGTTTCATCCAGATGTATATATAATTTGTTGAAAAACAGGATTATACTGGATCAAAAAATGATTTATTTTATTAATAATAAATCACAAAAAAATTACAGACGTTTCGACACCAAACGTTGGTGTCCTCTTCAGTGTATATAAAACATCATATTGAAAATTAGAGGGAAAAATTTTTAGGAAAAACAAACATGTTCTCATAAAGAGAACATGTTTATTAAATTAAAATTTACATGATTATATTTTTTGTTTCAAACCACGTGTGTAAACTCTTTTTTAATAGTTTTTTTTTAATTTTGAGGATATATAAAAAATAAATTTGATAAATTACTCACAGCACTGTTGATGTAACTTTTGAGAGCGTCTATCATCAGACACTTGGAACTTGGAGGATCTTCTAAATCACTCAATGGACTGTCTATATTAGTGTTTTCCTCACAGGAATTATTTTTCCTACTATCAAATTGTACCTTAACATTTTCGATGTCATTTATAATGGTGTCTACTATATCACAAGTCTCATCAGGTACATTACTTGAATTTTCATTATCTTGATTATCACAAGGATTTTCCATCGTTGAGGTTCCTTCAAAACTACATTTTTGTGAAGTTGGACTCGACGATTGTGAAGCATTTTCATTTGAAAATTCATTCAATTGACTAGATATATTGGAACAACTTGGAACATTTTCTGTATCATTTCTAATATCTCTTTGTTCCAATGTAATCTGTGAATTTTTCTCAACACTATTCTCCAAATTTCTGGAAATTCTTTTAGAACATATCAAACGTGCTCCACCACCACCATCACCACCAGCAAATAAATCTGGATTCACAAGTGTTATCGCTTGTGTATTGAGTGGTTTAAATAATGGATTTGATTTACTACATCGTCTATCGGCAACATAGGTGATATTTTGTATTTTATTTCTATCAGTGTCATTATTGTGTGTCGCATTACTTTCTCTATGAATATTTCTCGATTCATTGACAATATTTGTACAATGTGGATATTTGCAAACAAGAAAACAAAGTGCAAGTAAAAATTGTATTTCTTCATTTTCAATTGGCGACGCTCGATTACCATCGCAAATTTCAATAAGCCTTTGAATTGGTATAAACACCGCTGAATGATGTAGCAATGGAAATTTTGATCTTGTTAATAATTTTCGAAAAAATGCAAGACTCACTAATCTCATTCCTGGCGGTGATTCTGCACATGCTAATGTTGCTAATAAATCGAGTAATTTGTGTTGTATCAAATATTCCAAACATGAGCCAGGTTCCTCTCTATCTTTTTCCTCGAGTATCAATATTTCAAGGAGTCTATTTAAATGATGAGGAATTCCCGTTGATTCTATTGGTACTTTAGTGTCGGTTAAATGATCCGCATAAAAATTCATCAATTGCTTCCAATGATAAGTGAAATCTTGAAACGGTGTTGCTGGCGGAGCTATCTGTAATTTATTAAGGTCACAGGAAGTTTGCGAAGATTAATTTTTTTTTTTTGAAAATATTTGAATGAAATTAAATTTTACTGAAATAAATATTTTAAAAATAATTTACAATTTGGAGATAAATATAAAAATAAGAAAAATATTTGGTTTATATTTGTGTAAACAACAATTTTTCAGTTAACAAAATTGGATCCTTTTTATTAAAAAATAGAAAAATGTAAATTGCCTTAAATAAAATTTTTATTTTATTTGAGATAAAAAAAAACTCGTTAAAATAATCAGAATTACGTCGGTGAAGTTTACAACGTTTATGACAAATAATTAAAAATAAAAAATATTTTTAACGCGGAAAATAATAAATTACAAATTTTTTTTAAATAAAAATTATTTTTTTTTCAAACTCAAAAAAATTATGAATTAAATTTTATTTTTCGATAATAAACGAGCTTTACTGTGCAAATTATTTAGAAAAGAAAAAGACAATTTTTCAAAAATGAGCGTAAGAAGAAAAAAAAATACTTTAATAATGACATAAGGATGAAAGCAAAAACACCAATAAAATAGAAAATAAATAATTTATTTATATAAAAAGCAGTGTACATAAAATACATGAAGGGAAAATAAAATACGAATAATTCGAAAGCAACAATATAATCACACAATGAAAACGATGAATATATATGAAAAATGTCGATTCTAAAAGTGAAAAACACAAAAAGTGTCAAAAACAATAAACGTGAAAATACGAAGAACAAAATCTATAATATGAATCGAATAGAAATGTCATTGTTAAAAAGAATAATTATAAAAGAAACAATAATAATAATAAATGAAAATAATTATAAAAGGAACAATAATAGACTTTTATTATTTTTCTTGTACTATTTATTATTAGTGTTCTTTTTTTTATAATTATTCTGTTCAATAATAATGAAACCTTGATTTAAATTGACTGTACATGGTAGTCTTTTTAGTCATTAAGTGTATTATATTTATTAATAAAAATTAAATAATAAAAATAATGAGAGAGAACGCTTTTTTATGTTCATAATAATAAAATCACATAACTCACCACGTCAATAGCATTTTTTAAAGCAACCTGAAGACTGCTAATCATTTTTTAATATAGAATACTAGATGGAAAAATTTGTAACTTATTTTTTTTTTTATAAAATTAGAGCAAACAAGTGTAGGTAAAACTTATCAACAAATGACTTCATTATTATTTTCATTTAACTTCTCTTTTCTTAATAGCTTTGAGCTTTACTGTATTTTTATAAATAATATCACAGGTGATGTATATTGTTAAAAACTTGAAAGAAATTAATTATAACAAATTAAACATTGACATTTCGTCGATTCTGTATGTGTGACATATTGTTATTTTCCTTATCTCGAAGTCTAATTCGATATAACACTAATGTAAAATATCGATAAGTATCGATATAAAAAAGAGCGGCAAATTTTAGATTTTAATTTTCATTTATACGAAATTATTTAAATTTTATAATTTCCAAGACGAATTATACTTGTTAAATTTTATTTAATAAAAAAATTGTCCTTTTCTTTATTTAATTTTGTATAATTAATACGGAAATTATTATTCGAAAATGAAGAACTATGTAGCGATATATCGAATATAGATTTAGTTTAACTTTTTTTTTCAAGGTTTTATAGATAGAGCTACTTACTTTCAAATTTACATGATAAAACAGATATATATATATATTAAAAAAATCGATTTAAAAAGTAGAAATTTAAATATTACGTTTATCTTCATCAGAAAGTAAATATCAAATAGTAGAAAATAAAAATAGTATTTTAGAAATCGTGTGTTTTTAAAAATATTAAAAAAATAATAATTCTATATAATTAAATTCTAAATATTATATTTATATTTTTTAATTGATTTTTATAATTTATTCGCACAGGAAAACTTGTTTAAAATAAAACTTTTTAACGTTTTATTTATGCGTAACCTTTGGCAAGGTACCAATATGCAAATCAATTTTAAAAATTACTATCGGATTGTACAAACTTGACTTTTATATTTATATCAACTATATATTAATATATAACCGATTTGAAAAATTGGTGCTTTAATTATTATTAATTTTTTATAATATCGTTAAAATTTTTTTTATTATTGTTATATTTTATAATAATTATTATTAAAATAATAATAATAATAATAATAATAATTTTTCATTATTTATACTGTAAAAAAAATAGTATACGTGAAAAAAAGATTAAAAAATTGATTTTTCAAATGAAAAAAAAGTTAGATTTTCTTTTGCATTTTAATTTTCTTGTGAAAATTAAATTCTATCTCAATTATCAAAAACTGATAGGATTTTGATAAATTTTATTTTGCATTTTCAACGTGTACATAATTAACAACATTTATATATATATATAGTCTTAAATGTATATAAAACGTGATGAATCGTAATGATGCAGAGTTAATAATAATAATAGAAAATAATAATTTTTTACATCGTCAAAAGTATTTTAACTCGATTATATCTCGTAGCACCTGTATTATATTTCTTATCTCTTTGAGTACATATGACACTTTTTTTGTATAAAATAGAAGTTTTTGTACCTTCTCAATTTTCAAATAGAATATATATTATATATAATTTGCATTGTCAAGTCTGAAAATTCTAAAAGTATAATTTTTGCTCCATGGCAGTAATAACAGAATGTCACTTTTTTTTTTTTTTCTTATTTTCCCCCCATAGAGAATTATTGTCTACTTTTTCAAGGTGTACTCACCCGCTTAAATTTACGTAAACGACGTAACATGATGCAAAAATAAATTTTATTGTTTTGCGGAAGAACGTAGATGTAATAGAAACAGAAAATTTATTGAGCTTCTTCGCGATATTTTCTTCACTTAACTTGTACTTCATCTTATCTGAATGACAATAATATGAAGAATGTAGCAACACCGGGTTTATTATACTTTATCGTCCCTTTACTGCGACCGATTCCCTCTCCTCTGTGGTAGTTTACTTACAGTCACGTTGGAAGAGACTAATTTTATTTTTCAAAGTTAAACTTATCAGATCACTCTGACTATATAGTTTGGAAACTTTCTAATTTCCACATATTTTAATTTAAACACAAATTACCTTAAAATTCCTCCTTTTTTTCCAACGAATATTTACGGATTTAAAAAATTACAAAAAGTATGAATTTTCAAAATTTTTTTTCAAAATTTGCTGATATAGGTTAAAATATTTTTTTTTTTTTTTGTAAGACAAAAGATAAAATTATTGTAGGCCTTTTTTTTTTGTATATTTAATTGTATTTGAAACAACATATTCGTTGCAATTTTAACGGAAGGGAAAGTATAGGAAATTGAATAAACATTTGTTCGTTCGAATAAATCTTTGTTCATTCCATTTTATAAGATCTACGCAATATTTTTCTTCAATTTTTTTTTGTTGTATAATGTCCTTTTCAACTACATTCATTCATTATTTTTTTTTTTTTTTCATTCAAATTGACGCGTTTTATTTTTGTTGCATCTCAACAATTAATTTGAGGTAAACACTGCAAACTTTGACATCAAACATCTGTCACTCATTCTTCTATTTACACACAATAATCTCCAATTAATTTAAATCGCACTCGGAAATTTGATCGAACTTGATTTTTGGAACTGGTCCAAAAAAAAATAAAAAATAAAAAAAAAAGTTCGATCGTCCAAGTTGATAATAATGTAGACTGCGTAAGTGTCTATTTTTCTTATGCATAAATATATATATATTTATATATTTATAATATCTGACTCGACTATTCTTCTAGAAATGAAACAATTTTTTGTTTCAAATACGCGCGTGACGATGATAGGATTTTTATTTTGACAATAAAAAACAAAAATATCATTCTTTAGATCGGATTTTAGCTGTACAAGTAGGCAATGTCTTTTTAAAAGAATTTATTTTTCGATTCTCCATTCTTTTATACTAGTCAATAAATCGTCTAATTGCGCGCTATTATAATTGTAATTTACAAAAGAATTTTTTTTTTTTTTTTGCAAAGCATCTAATTATTGATATAATATATACTTTAAGAGCACTGCTCTTGATTTTATTCGATTTTATTATTTTCTTCTTTTTTTTTCTTTGTAGTGCTCGTTGGCAGTATTTATTGCCCAATGTAGTTGCAGAGAATCACTATAATATTGTGATACTTTCGTTGATTCTATATTTATTTAGAAATAAATTATTATTTTATAATAGTGCGAGATTGCGGTTTTTTTTTTTTTTTTTAATTACACCCACGATTCGTATCAAAATAGTTAAAAGAACACGAAACATTTATTTTGAAGGTTCTAGAGAACAAAACAATTTGAATTTGCATCGAGCACCTTCAAAGTTGAAAACGCGATTTTCGATCAATTTTCGTTAATTGAATCGAACAAAGCAGATTTAATTAGTTGCCGAAATATATTCGAGGTCGTGTATAGTAAATTTCAAATTTACAATCAGCTATTTAATTGGGACTAGCCCGCATTGGCTACTATTTTTTTTGTGCTATATGTACAACAGTGTCTCAATTTGTATTTAATTATACATTTAATTTTATTCTAATGTGTGGGTAATATGGCTCCGTTATTATCTTCACCGCTTTTGTGATGCAACTGCGGCGACAAGCGCAGCACCACGACCACTACCATCCTCTGAAAGCATCAGATCGAACTGCAAAAAAAGAGAAATTTTATTTTTATTAATTTAATTTTATCATATTATATTCAAATTTTGAGAAATCAATTTTTTCGAAGTTTTACAATTTATTTCTAAAACTTTTTATGTAAAATTATATTTTATATGAATTTTTCTAATGTTGAAAATTTCACTTTTTGTCTTTTAAAAATTAATTCCATAAAATTATTCAGTTTTTTTTATTAATCATCAATTTCTATCAATAATTGCTAAATAATTGACAATTATTGTGAAAGGAGTTGATTTTTTAAAAGTTTTAGTAATTAAAATCACATTTTATTATGAAATATAAAGAAAAATAATTTTTAACCATTTTACAAATTTTTTTAACTTTTAGAATTTTTTTTTTTTTTTTTTTTGAAAAATATTAAAAAATTTCCCTTATCCACACTATTTATTGTTTACAATAATAAAACAGCGTAAAAAATTGTCTATAAAATATAATAGAAATTAATTTTTTCAGAATTTCGAATTTTATTTAAAAATTTTGTTAACTTAAATACTTTTTTCTATTTTTCCACGATTTTTTTTTTTTTACTCTAAGTGAAACAAAAATAAAAATTACACAATTTACATTTCATCATCACATCTTTCCTCTGAGTTGTCACAAGAATAAATTTTTCAATTTTTCGACATTTCCTTGACATTAAAAAATTTGCCTTGACAAACAAATTTTACTAAACTTAATGAATTATAATAGAAATCTAATAATTTGAAGTTGCAAAATCACATTTTTCTACAAAAATTTAACTCTTCACTAGAATATGATGCTGATTTTCAAAACGTTTATGATCAACGATTAGAAAACAAATTTTTTTTTTAAAATGAAAAATTATAAAACTTTTTATGTAAAAAAATCTTTTTTATAATTTTTTTGATCAATAAACATTACAAAAAATATCAATCAATCAATTAAAATTAGGACAAATAAATGAAATTCGGAAACATTGCAACTTAAATTAATTAAAATTCGAATAATTTGAAACTGAAATCAATTATAATTTAGATAATTTGAATTTTCATTAATTTTAAGTATCGATTGATTGAATTTAATTAAAATTTTTTAAAATAAATTTTATTTTAACTAATAAAAATTAAAATGAAATTTGGATAAATTAAAATTTAAACAACTTCAAATTTTGATAAACTAAATTTTGGATTGATAAAATTGATGAATCGATGAATAATTTTGATTAATTCAAAATTGGGTCAATCGAATCATTTATAAAATTCACAATTTCTGACAAAAATATTTTCTCTGAATTATGAAATGAAAAATCTTTTAATTAAATTATTATTCGCCAGTAAAAAGGATATTTTATATTTCTAAAATACTTTAGAAAATTTTATGATATATTTTATTTCGTTGAAAATTTTTGGAGAAAAAATTGAGAAATTTTCGAAATTTGAATACATTGTTTTTACAAATTAATGAAAGATGACTCACCGTATGATTTTGTAATTGGCTAATTTTCTCTGTCATGAGATCGTGGAAGTGAGGATGAAATCTGTAGACGGAACCATCGACACCTACGGTAACATTTTCTTCTCCTATTTTATTAAGAACGGCAGCTGTTCCCGAACTCGCAAGATGTGCCGCTCTTCTTGATACCACTGAACAAACATATCTAACATTCTCACAGTCTTGATCACTGGCGTTTCTAACTCCAATTTCAGCTAAAACTTCCCGACAATTTGTATATTTTCCTTTTGGATCGCTGGAAATTAAAAATTTTCATTTATTAGTTTAATTAAGAATCACAAACTAAGGCCTCGGATTGTACGATTTTTTTCGACTTATTTTAATAAAAGAATACTTTTCCACTTATTTTACAAAATAAAATGAAAAATTAATTAATTTATTAAATTAAAAACCTATATTAATTTTTTTGTACAAATTGTAGCTATTCTAAAATTTAATTATTTTGAAATTTTTAATCTAAAAAGTCCTTGCAAAATTAATTATTTTTAATAATTTTAATGAAATTCTTCAAAAATTCAATTATTTAATAAAATATTTTGCAATTAAAAATTCTCTAAAATTCAATTATTACGTCGGTGAAGTTCACAATGTTTACGATCAACGATTGAAAATAAAATATTTTTCACTTAAAAAAATAATAACTAATTTTTTGCCTAGAAATATTTTTTTCAAAAAAATTTATTGATCAAGAAACGTTTCAAAAAATTTTGTATATCAAAAATAATAATAATTTAATCATTCAATTATAAAAGTTTTTTAATATTCAATTATTGTCTGTAGTTTGTAAAAAAAAAATCTTCATCAATTCAATTTTACAAAAATTTCAATTTAAAATCTCTTAAAATTCAATTATTTAAAAAAAATCTTAAATTCGTTTGAAATAATTCAATTATCTAAATTTCTTTATCTAATTTGCTATTTTTAATAATATTAATCAATTGTTTCAATTCAAATAGTTTTTTCACCATTTTTTAAAATTCAATTATTAAAAACATGTTTAGGTTGAAAATTCTCCCGTTTCCGTATCTTATTTTTAAAAACGACTGAATTTTTTTTTAACCATTTGTACTTCAAACTTTTCAAAAATTCTTAATTCATAAATAATTGGCATAAATCAGGTCTGGAATTTTTTTTTTTAAACTGACTTTTATTTTTTAAAAATCTAAAATTTTTGAAAAACTGTCTCAGTTGCATTTTTGATTAAATTTCTTGATAAATTCCTATGCAATTATTCTTATTCGGAAATATTAAAATTTATTTTTAATATTAATATTAATAATTAATTATTATTAAATTAATTTAATATTAATTTTAACAATGATTGATAGAAATCAAATATTTATTAAATTAAATTTATTAAAATTTAAAAAATCGACTGAAACGACTTTTTTTTGTCTATCCGAGGCCTATTTCTAATTTCATTCAAAAAAAAAAAAAAAAAGATTCTCAGAATAGGTAATTAAACAAAAATTTTAAACACTTACTTTTCAATTTCTGATACGTATTTAGTGAAGAATTGTCCTCGTTTTTTGAGTTCACTGGGACATTTACCACCGAATAAAAGACCATTATTGACAAGTTTTTCAAGTACTAATCTTGCCAATTCGCCCATGTACATGCCAGAGATCATTTTCTCGAAAATTTGTTTTCCAGGATTAATGGAATTTTGATCAACATCCCTGTCGAATTCAGTGAGACAAAAATCAAGTGTATTTCTCTCGCCAAACGCACCCCATTCCATATTTATTAACATATTTGATTTGTCTTTTGAATATCTTCCTGGTGTTGCACGTTTTGCATTTTGTGTCTTCTCAACGTAACATGCATTGCTACCCGTACCTAAAAAATAAACAATTATTATTATTTATTTTTATTAATTATATTCGTCTGAAAATATTGAATCATTCAATGGAGTGTGAAGACGCTATTAATAATAAATTCGACTATATTTCACCACTTGACATTTTTTAATCTTTATTCTCGTTATATTTTCATTTTGTGAGATTTTACATCTTGGACTACTTTTCGAATGGAACTAATTTCATTAAATAATAAAAAATTAATCATTTTTTTTAGTGAATGAAAATAAGATAATGTAAATTATATTTAGATTAATTATATTATTAATAATTTTTTTAAAGTGCAGACCTCGCATTATACGACTTTTTTCGAATTATTTTAATAAAATGCGACTTTTTTGACTCTTTTTTAACATTTTTTTAAACAAATTTTAAACAATATATACGTTTTTTTTAGTATACAATGAATATCTTCTTCAGATCTTCTTTATTTCAATTATTTAACAAATTTTTAACTAAAATTCTTCACTAAATTAAATATTTTTAATATAGTTTTAATGAAATTCTTCACACATTCCATTATCTTAAACTATTTTTCAATTAAAATTTTTATGAAATTTAATAATTGTTTATAATTTTAAAAAAATTATCAAATAAAATTACAAAAAAATTTTTAATTCAAAATCACTTGAAATTTAATTATTAGCAGAAATTTCAATTATTTTTAATGATTTTTATAATATTCTTCGAAAATTCAACTACATTTGAAACCATTTTTCGCTTAAAAAGTTTTCAAATTATTGTATTTTTGTCTGTAATTTCTAATAAATGTTTTAGTAACAGAAATCATCAAAAAAAATTTAATTAAAAATTACTTGAAGTTCAATTAATTTCAAAAATCTAAATTGTAAATCTTTGAAAATTCAATTACTTTTAAAAAATGTTATTTAAAATTATTTTTAGTTCTGTAACATTTAATTATTGTCTGAAAATTAAAAAAATCTTTTGAAATTCAATTATTTCTAAAAATTTCAACTTTAAATCCTTCAAAATTATTATTTAAAAATCTGTAAAACTTGATTAAGTATTGCCGGAAATTTTTTTGACCATCAAAACTAAAAACTATGCCATATTTTTTAATTCGAATAAATTGCTTAAATCAGATTTCAAAAAATTTTTAAAATTGAACTTTTAAGAATTTGTCCTACTTGAATAAAATTTTAAATATTTATCTTACAATTAGTTTGATTCTGAAATATTTGGAATAAATTTTCTTGATAATATTCTTATAGAATTATTCTCATTACAAAATTAATAAAATGAATTTAATATCTAATAACATTAGTTATTTAAAGTAAAATATTTATTAATCAATTAAATTTTATTGAAATAAAAAAATCTACTTTTTCGACTTTTTTTGGAATATAAATCGACTAAAACGTCTTTTTTTGTGCTTTAAAGTCGATCCGAGGCATAAATGTGTGAATTAATAAATGATTTTAATTTCGATAGTTAGAAATCAAATTTGTCTTTACCAAGAATAAGTCCAATACGACAATTTTTGTTTTTCCAAGCACAGGACATTAAGGTACCAGTGGTGTCGTTCAAAATGGCACAAACGTCAATCTTGACATCCTGAAGGATAAATAAGAAACTTAAAAATTTCTTCTGGTACAAATAATCAACAAATCATCAAACACGAGGTTAATTTTTTTTTTTTTTTTTTTTTTGTCAGGAAAAAAGTATATTATTTAACTTACGTTTCTCCTGGCAATTGCCGCTTCAAGAAGAGCAACAACGTCCTCTCCAACAACTCCACTGCAATTGAAACCTTTTGTCCACCTCACGAGTCTTCCTTCTGTGAGTCCTTCTTGCACCAATGGAAAACTAAACGTAAATCCAAGAGGTAAAACCTCATTTTCAAGTTTGAGATCTTTAACAAAAAGTGCCAAACACTGGGCGATGTGATCAAAAAGCTGTGTTCCAGTTCCCAACATTAAACTCTGTGGTATTGCATAGATTTTACTTTTCATATCGAAATTGTGTCCGTCCAGTGTAATCAAAAGTACTCGGAAATTTGTTCCTCCCAAGTCCAAAGCCAAAAAATTACCCTTTTCTGTAACAAAAAAAAAAAAAAATTAAATTTTTATTTTAAAAATCATAGTTCTTTTTTGTCTCTATTTTTTTTCAAATAATACTGTTCATTTTTGTAGGCAATAAATATTTGAAAATTTAATTCATTAAACAACTAATTTCTTTTACAAGATTTAAAATTTGAGAAAATGTAATTGTTGAAAAATGAAATTTTTTTTTCCTTGACGCTGACAAAATGTTTTTTTAATTAAATTACTTTATTTTTTTTCCTTGAAGGGAGGAATTTTCTTAACAAATTTATCTATTTGATATTTTTCCAGTGTTTTTAATAAAAATTTCTGACTTTTCCCCCGACATTTCGTTTCAGAAAAATGTCAAGGTTAAAATTTTTATGTTTTCTTTTTTTTAAAGACATAAATAAATTCATGTCGTCTTTCCAGTTTTCAAGGTTTTAAAATTAAGTGCCCACTCCGTTTTATCAAAAAAAAAAAAAATTATATATATAAATAAATAATAATAAATAAATAACGAGTTTAAACTACTGGAAAGTCATTTAGTAAAACTATAGGGGAAGTGTGAGTATTACTGCGGTTTCCCCTTATTATACTATAAATTTTTAAAAAACGAATTTATTTTTAATTTTTTAATTTTTAAATGTTGCTATTTCTTTAAAAATCCATTAAACAAACAAAAATATAAGTACTTTTTTAAATAAACTAATAAATATTAAATCATTAAAGATGCCACACTAAAAACCAGTAATAATAAATCAAACAAAATTTAAATGTTAAATAATTTATATTATTCATTATTATAATTATTAATTAATTAATTAACTAATTTCATTTTTAATTTAATATGTAATAACAACTGTATTTTTATATCAATTATGTTCAAATATTTCAAAATTAAAATTATTAACAATTGTTTAATTTGTTATTGAATTTATTTCCATTAAATTATTTGAATTTTCCCGCCAATTATGACAATAATGGGAATGAACAATATGGCGCTTCCGGTCTTCTAATCAAAGTATGTACGGTTGTGGTAGGGTGATTTTTGTTCTGGGCCCCCTAAAATTTTTTTAAATTCCATTATTTTTGTTTAAAAAACGAAAAAAAATGAGAAGGAACAAAATTTTTTAGGTACGGAACATAAAAATCACCCTGTATATATATATATATATATATATAAATAAAGATCAGTGGTGCCAAAAGTCTCGGAAATTTAATGATTTGAAGAATTTAATAATCGAACTTTTTAATTCACAAGTAAAATAAGAAACTACTTTGAATTCTTGGTCGTATCAATAATTGACGACAGAGGGGGTGCGAAACAAGAATAGATTAATTGTTCTGCTAGAAAGTTCTACTATTTTTCTCCGTGTTTGTTTATGAAGTTTAAAGTGAAAATACACAAAAAGGATATTTAACTTTTAATAAAAATCATTAATGCTTAAGTCTTTATTACAACCAAAATAATCAATAAAAACTGATATTTATTTTACAAATAGGAAAAGAAAAAGAAAAAAAGGAACTTTTAATAAAGGTAATTCTAAATTAAACATAACCTAAAATTTTCTTGCTTCTCAGGTGCCTTTCTCCTGAGCTTTTTCAGAACGTATACTATGAGTATTTAAGTATCTTAAAATTCGATTTTCTTTATTTTATCATATTTTTTTTTTCAATTACATATTTATTATGAAGATTAATTAATTGATAAAAATAAAATCACCTGTGCCATTGGGAAGGTCTTGAACGTAAGTTGTGTAACATTTAACTACAGCATCATCATGCTTATCCTTCGATAATCCCTTATTTATGTCCTCCGTCAATTTTTCCATAATTTTCCGACATTGTTCATCTGTCAAGATGAGATCTTTACAAATCTCCCTTATCTGAAAGTAAGAAAATTAATGGTTAGTTTTTATTTCAGAGAGACTTTTATTTAAATCAGACCATATCTTTTTTTTAAGACTACTGTGGAATATATATATATCACTTGTTCATATAGTTAATGGCGTTTTCTTGGAAATCTTTTCTTTAAATCTTAGTGCGATTATCAGCTTTTACAAAGTAACATCCGGTCATATATAGGATATATTTTGAAGAAAAAAAAAACTAATTTACAAAGTTCATCTAAGATAGTTTCTACATTCTCATGAAAAGAAAATTTTAAAAAAAAAAAAAAATATTCCTTTACTATTTACTAAATAAATTTGAATTCAATATATTTTATTGGAATAAAATTAAAATTTCTAGAATTAAATAATAAATAAACTTTTTTTGTTTTTTTTTAACTTTTAATTTTTTTTTTTAATATAAATTTTTGAAGACAGTTTCTTGAGAGTTATTAAATTCTTCGATAATTTTATTATTCATAGTTTAAATATTCGTCATTCATTTGATCAAAAATTAATATTTATTTATGATAAACATTTATAATTATCAGTATATAAAAAGAAAATGATAAAATTTGAATATAGCTGATAATATTGTGCGTGTTGGTATTTAATAAAATGATTCCTAATAATTAATTTTTTATTTTTTTTTGAGTGCAATAGTAAATAATTACATTTTCATATCAAGGAAATAATAAGACACAATTTTTTAAAATTTTTGTTCATTTATATCTCAGGAAACACCTCTCAAGGCAAAAATGGTTTAGAAAAAATATTTTATTTTATTTTATTGAAGGTTTAGAAAATTATGTATTTTATTTATATTTGTCTTAGAGTCAAATAAATTTTTATTTCTTTTAAATAAATTTTATTTAGTTTAAATAAAAAAAAAAAAAAAAAAAATTATATTTGCGCTAAATAAAATTTCATTTATGCTAAATTAAATTTTTTTTATATGAAACAAAAAAATATTAGGCCCTAAAATAAATATTTTTAATTCAAATAAATTTTTTTTTTTTTTCAAATAAACACAAAAGATTTCTCTGGGTATAATAATGGTGCATTTTTTAATTTATTAGTTATCAATTTCCAAAATTCAGTTTGTATTTTTTTTTTAATTTTGAAATAATATATATATTAAATAGTATATTATTTCAAAATTAATAAAGAAAATACATTATAAATATAAAAAAAGAATATACAAATTTATAGTTATTTTTTTTTAATTAACATAAAATTTCTTAATAATACTCAATTTACGCAATACTATATTTTATGATTCAACAAAATAAGTCACGTGTTTAATGATAAACGTGACCGAATTCTAGGAAATTAGCGGAATGAACATGAGATTCCCTTTAGTCATTTTATTCATCAAACCAGTTTTTTTTTTATCTGGCTACTGGTTAATGTTTCCTGCTCTGAGGGTAAATTTGAATATCAATGTTAATGTGCTTAGACAACATTGTAATCTTTCTTTTTCTAGTTTTCTTCAATTTTATTTTCTCTGGTTTATATACATTTTTATCAAACTACTGTTATTTACTCAATGAACGACAACAGTTCAATACGTCAATAATTTTTTTTTTTTTATGAATCATATTCATTTTTCACGTTTTTCTAAAAAAAAAATACTTTCTAGAAAATATATATTTTGAAGACATTTTTTTTTTATTTATTTTTTACTATAATTGCCGTAAATAACATATTTTTATTTGTTTATTATTTATGTTAGTTTTTTTTTATTAGTTTCCATTTTTAAATTTTATTTATTCTTTTTTTCTTCTAGATTTGTTGGTAAAATTTTCGCAATGGAAGTTAAATTTCGATTCTCGCATAGAGAAAAATCGTAAGTACCTTTATTTACGAATAAATGAATAAGAAATCATCTCGTAATTAGTATTACTAATAATTGACTTTGAAAGTCATTGAATTTACATAAAACTGTGAATGAACTTCATCATCACGTTTTTTGTGCTTTAAGCAAAATGGTATATGGTTTTTAATAAAGAAAAAAAATTTCATTTGGGAAATACAAAAATTTTTTCCCCTAAAGTTTATTTTTCCAAATACATTTTTAAAAAAACCGATACGTTGAATTTAAAAAAAATAAGCTTTCTTTCAATAACAATGATTAGTCAACAAATTCACAGAATTGCGGGAATTATTTTTAATTACCACTTTACGTTCCATTCTCTTAAGTGTTTTTTTTTTTTTTTTCTATACTTGCGATTCCACAATCGTTCAATAAATGGGACAATGATTGCGTTTATTTTTAACGATTACTTACACAATTAATTTATATACGCATATATTTATATTTATCTTTGACAAAAATATTTTGATTAAATGGCAATTTGAACTTGAATTTTAAATTTAGAAGAATCTTATCAGCCGAATGAGTTAATTAATTGATTGTAAAATTTAATATGCGTAAAGAGTTTTTAAAAAAATATTTTTACATATAACGAAAATAATTATTATACTTTATAATAAATATATTTTCTATATAGTTCAAAGTCATGTCCTTGCTATCATATTACCCCATCTTCCGTTTCTCAAGCTGTATACTCTTGCCATTGATTTTCTCTGACGTCATTGACACACCCGCAAACTGTCCGATAGAATTTACATGAATGAACGATAAAAGCTGAAGCACATGCGGTTCAAATAACGTATATTTGTGTATAAATTTCTCTTGACATTAAAATCTCAGTGGAATTGACACTTATGACAATTTTACATAACTATTATGTAATGATTCATATTTCATTTAGCAAATGCATTTCGAATTTTGTAAATTCATGAAAATAAAATTTACTGCATTCAAAATAATATTAAAAACATTTAACAAAAAAAGATTAATTTTATAAAAATATTTATTTTTTAATAATTTCAAAAGTATAAAAAATTTTATTTTCTTTGAAATATGCAATTCAAAAATTAATACAACTTTTATTTTTATCAGAAATAATTATATTTATATTTTCTCGTGTATTCTATAATGAATTTTACGTTCCACGCGACTTCATTTATGTTATTGTAATAAAAAACAGGTTTTTCATGCAAAAATGTTAATTACAAAACACGTGGTATATGTTTTTTTTTTTTTTTTACACTCGACTGGGAAGGAAAAAAAATATTACTTCGAAACAATATTGTTTTACACAATACAATATTTTTGAGTGAAGTTTCATTTTCATAAATTTCTAGAAAGATAAGAAAAAATTAATAAAAACATTAAGACAATTGAAAATGGAATTTAAAATTGTTTTACAAATTTTGTGAAAAAGAAAAAAAATATTTTTCTCAGAGTCAAATAAATATTTAAGTATTTCTTACAAATAAATTTTATTTGGATTAAAACAAAAATTTATTTGCGCAAAATAAAATTGTATTTGTATTAAATAACACATTTAAAATAAATAAAAAGTTATATTTGTCTCTGAGATAAATATATTGTATTTTATTTGATTTAAATAAATTTTATTTGTCTTAAATATATAAATGTAAATAAAAAATTTCTCTGAGTATATTATTAAAAGATATAACTATATTACAAATAGTAAAGAATTTGAATTTTTATCCAAATTTTTTTCATTTTTTTATAAATTACGTGAATTTTAAAAAACATATTTGTAAATTCCAACAAAAAGCAGAAAATAATGCGGAATCTGTATAGAAATATATATATATATATATATATATTCATGGCAATAAAAGAAAAGATAAGTTTTTTATATGGAGCATTTGTTATGTAAAATTCATATATTTTTCGCTTATTTATGTAACAAATAAAATCTTGAACGATTTTGTTATATATCGGTTAAATATTTTTAAAGTGAAAATTAATATTCAGCAATTTCACATAATTTAACATTTATTTTGAAAAAAAGCATATTTTTAATTTTGTTATATTTTTTCAGTTTCTTTTAGAAAAATTTTTTTTCCCTTAATATTTATCTAATTTAAATAAGTAGGAAATAAATTTAATTTAAATTAATTAATTTAAAAAATTTTTAATCTACATTTCAAAATATTTAAAATTTATACAAATTGAAATTATTTAATTATTTTTTTTATTAAGAAAATTATCAAAGTTGTGCGGCTTAAAAATAGTCACTATAGCTTCCATTTTTTTTAAAGTTATTTTTAAATCTCTCATTAATATACGTCACTATCATTATTGGCACGTAACATTATCGGTTTATTTAACATATTAAATTGTATACTTTAGACACACATTTAAAAGATTTTTGCACCTTCTATGACAGTTTCGAGTTCAAAGAATAATTTTATTTCATAAAAAGGTCTTTGATCCTTCTTTGAATTATCAAGAGAATAAAAATTATATCATTGAAACCAAAGAATGCGATGAATAAGCTTTTTTTTTAAAAAAAAAAAATTAATGTTTCTTTCAAATGTTTACGTCATAAGTGATTGTATTTTAAAACTAGAACAAAACAATAACAATGTAGTTCTCAACGTTTTTGATCAACGATAAAAGAACATTTATTTTGTTAAAAATCATAAAAAAAAAAAAATTTATCTAAAAAATGTTTTTTAAAATTTGTTAATTAATGAAAATTGTAAATTTCGCCATTATTTAAAGAGTCAAATCTAAATAAAATTCACAATACAATCGTTTATTTATTTGTAAATTTCTGCAGAAATTAGTTGATTTTAACTTTTTAAAAAACGTTGGTGAACTTTGCAATGCTTATGATCAACGATTGAAAAAAAAATATATATTTTTCACTCAAAAAATAATAACTAACTTTTTGCCTATAATTTTTTTTTTTCAAAAAATTATTGATCAAGAAACGTTGCAAAAAAAAAAAAAATTGTTTGATAAATAAATAAATAATTTGTATAGAAAAATATTTTCTCTTCTCAATCGTTGATCATAAACGTTGTGAACTTCACCGACGTTAAAAAAAACTATTAAAAATAAGTAAAAAATATTCTTCACGCGAAATGTAATATGTATGTTTTGTGGTGTGTAACCATATTGTAAAATTTTTAACAAAATTTAATTTGAAAATTTAAATTCTATGTAAGCTTATAACACTCGTATGAGGGTTCTCAAATGCTTTAAATATATAAAAAAAATTTTCTTTTAAAAATTATTGATCAAAAAACGTTGGAAAAATTATAATTTGCATTAAAAAAATATTTTGTCTTTCAAAATTAATTATGAATTATTTTAAATTATTAAATATTATTTATTATTAATTATAAATAATAAAAAATTAAAAATCATAAATGTTGTGAACTTCATCAACGTTGATTTTATACATTAACTTTTATAGATTAGAAGAAAATATCAGTAAATTGTTTTTGAAAAAAAAAAAGTGAAAAGAAAAGAGTAATTTTTATCTATGTACCTTATATTGTTATCGCGAAACTAACATTATTGCGAGACTGTGAAAATTAACAATACACTTTTGTGTACTCTGACATTCAAGTTAAAAAAGTTCTAATTTTTTTTAAACGAAAATTTCCATTTTTAAATATATATAAATAAATATAAATATAAATATATAAATTTATTTAAACCAAATATAATTTATTTAAAACAAATAAAATTTATTTAAAACAAATAAACATTTATTTAAAACAAATAAAAATTTATTTTATGACTATATAATATACTTTTAATATTTTATTAATGCAAAAATTCAATTCACGAAAGTATATAAATTCTGTAACTTTATAATATTGTTGTTTTGATGTCAGAGTACTTTAATTAAACATTGTTAGCGTGATGTACTTCATCAGATATATAGAAAATTGTTGTCACATTATAATAGTGTTTGTTAAGCTTCAGTGTGACTTGTAAAGGTGTACAATTATTATCATTAATGTTGAGTGAATGCAGATGGAATTTATAATAATTTTGAGTTTGTGACGATACAAATGTTTAGTTTAAAATTCATGAATATTGTACAAATTCTATTATTAAAATTAATACCTATAGTTTCCGTTTTATAGAAATCTATATGAAACAATTCTTTTTTTTAAAAATAATTTCTAACCAATTACATAAAAATTTCAATCAATTAACATTGTTTAAAAATTAATGTAGTTTCCGTTTCATGAAAATCTATGCAAATTTTTTATATTAACTAATTAAATTTACATACAGAGAAATTTTTATTTGCATTTATTTTTAAATTTATTTCAATCAAATAAAAATATACCCAGAGAAATTATATTTTTGTCTCAGAGTCAAATAAATTTTATTTGATTTAAATAAAAATTTTATTTGCACTAAGTAAAATTTTATTTGTTGCTTAAAACTAGCACCTATTTGTGCTAAATAAATTTCTTTTTGTTGACAAATAAATTTTATTTGCGCTAAGTAAAATTTTATTTGTGCTAAATTAATTTTTTTTTGTTGACACAAGTAAAATATTTATTTGCGAGTGTGTATAGTTAATTTAAAATAATTTATTCATTAAAAAAATGTATGAAAAAAAATAGAATATTTATTTAAAACAAATAATTTTGCTTACAAAAAAGCGTTTTTTCTCGAAAAAAAAAAATTGCATTTGTAAAACTTTTCCCTGCTTGTAACCATATTGATAGAAATAACTGAACATTGACTATATATATATTGATTTCATTTATCCAGTACATTTCACACAAAAGTAGTTTGGAATTTCAAGAAATGATTTATATATTTCCAAAGGGGAAATCACACTGAATGACTAAGATTTTTTTTTTATTTTTAGTGGAATCTCTTGTCAAGGTTAAGGGATGTGACACTAAGGAGAATAAAAGCCGGGTTTCAAACCAATGCCCTCGTGACTCGTGCACACACACGAGTATAGGTAAAATCGATTGGAGCACCTGGTTTGTGTATATTCTCATTATCTCATACGACACTGAGTGCATGCATGCATTTTTTTCTGTCGGTTTCTTTGCTAACAAAAAAAAAAGAAAAAAAACTCAACGAAATGTTCGATCCTAGCTTCAAACATTACGTAAAAGCACACGTAACTTTGAAACATTGATATTCCCACTCTCTTCAAATTTTCCCTCATACGTCGATACTTGACTATTCTTTTTAATCGTAGCGCCTCATGGCTCGCGCAAAAGTGCACACGAGGCATGCTCAATTGTCATTTTGCCGAAATTAATTTTGTCGCCTTTTTTTTTTTTTATTTTTTACACACATAATTTACAAAATTTAATTCTCTCACCTCCGGTTTAATCAAATCACTAGTATTTAGTGTCGGTGACATCTTCATAATGTTGTTTTTTTTTTTTTTTTTTAGTGAAATAAAAAAACACTTTTTTTCTCACTTCACTTATTAAAAACACTTGTGTGTCCGAGGGGAGGGAAAAAAACTGATAAAATGTGAAAAATCCTCTATGAAACTTGGCGTCTCTATGCGCTGTTGCGTGCGTACCAATCCAGTTTTATATTGAGACTAAAGTTGGAGGCGCCTACTCCACGCGCACCTCCATGCATATGGACTTGGAGTTGTTGGTGGGGTTGTGTTTCCATGTTGGGGGTAGGCCAAATGGCATATATATATATAAATATATATATATATATATGAAGGAAGTGGAGGTGGACTGGACTCGAAAGTATGGGTAGTTCCCTCTTCCACCCAAGGTTGTTTGGCTTCCTCTTGATCTCCCCTTCTACCCCCCCCCCTCCTTTTTCCCTCCTACTAACGTACTCGCTGATTTCCACGTTTTATCGGTGAATGCGCCTATACAACCGGGAGAAGGAGGCTCGCCTGTCGTCCCAAGGGCAACGAGGTCACGTGGCATTCCTGCATCTCTCCAAAGTTCTTGCGGCGATAAACCATTGCACCATTCTGTCAAAATTTTACATTCACGTGCGAAATTCCCCTCGCAAAGAAGAGAGTAATGTTTCATCATCTGATTGTAGGATTTTTTTTTTTTTTTTTACTATAATTCATTTATTGTATTTCATTCAATATTTGGATTTTAATTCTTTGCGAGGTTTTTTTTTTTTGCATTTGTATTTTGCAAAATATTTGCAAATTTTTATTAACAATGAAAAATATATTTTAACTAAGATATAGTGAGTGTGTACTAACTGGAAAACCCCAAACGGGAATTTTTTTGTCAAATTGGAAATTTTTACAATTTTTTTTTAAATCTTTTTTTTTTTATTTTATTTTTGGAAATTTGTTTATTTTTACAAACGGGACAAAATTTTTGATTATTAGCTCGCTTTTTGTGACGCATGAATGTTTAAAATTAATATATATTAGAATTTTTATTTGTTTCAATTATTTTTTGACATGATTTCCATTTGTAACTGAATTTTTACTTATAACCAAAAATTCTTTTAACAGAATTTCTATTGGATCGAATTTTTATTATGCGAGAATTTTCATTTGTATTTGAAATGTCGAATAAACATTCGTTATATGAACATATGGGCGCGAATTTTAAAATCAGAAATTAGCCCGAAAATTTTGATTGATTAATTTTGAAATTCGCGCCGAAATATGTTTCTGTCGAATATATTTATTCGAACAATAATGAAAGTTCTGTCAAATAAAAATTCTGGTTAATGAAATTTCGCTTATGTAAAATTTTTGAAAATTCGGTTAAATAGAAATCATGTCAAAAAATAATTAGCACAAATCAAAATTCGGCTAAATGAAAATTATATCTAATGCACGGAGAAAAATGAAAAAACGAATAAAGTAACTTTTACTATACTTTAAAAGTAAAACCGGAACTGTCTGCACTCTCAAAATCTGAATTAGTAAAAAAGTTTACTAATTTAAATTAGTGACTCACTTTTTGCTTTAGAATTAGTTAAATTTTACTAATTGTTAGTTAAAGTTACTAATAATGAGTAAAATTTTACTAATTAAGAAGAAAAAAGTGAGTCACTAATTCAAATTGGTAAACTTTTTTACTAATTGAGATTTAGAGAGCAGTTTCTGGTAATTTTTACTCCAGAAATAGTAAAAATTATTTTGAAAATAGTAAATTTTACTATTTTTGGAGCAAAAATTGCTAGAAATGCTCAGAAACTGCGGACAGTTTCGGTTTTACTTTTTAAATATAGTAAAAATTACTTTATTCGTTTTTCCATTTTTCTCCGTGTGACATTTTATAAAAAAAATTCTAATAAATTAATAATTTGAGGCATTATTTATACGTCTTGTTTTTTTTAGGTTTTTTTTTATTAATGTTTCACTCAGAGAAAAGTTTTGTTTAAACCAAATACAACATTTTTTGTGTTAACTCAATTTTTAGGTTATTTTAAACAAAATTTGTTTAATTCAAATAAATGTTTGTATTTGATTTTAATAAATCATACATTGAGAAAAAATTATACCCAATTTGCGAGTACAAAGATATAATTTTTGATGATTTTTTATTTTTATTTTCTAAATTAAATAATTTATTATCTGCATTAAATCAATCGAAAATTCTATTTGAAATAAAAAATTTGTTTTACTGTATATAGCAGTAAATAGTATAAAATAAGTTTGAATTAAACATATACTATACATGTTTGATTCAAAAATATTGTACAAAGCTTAAAATTTTACTTTGCAATCATCATAATATTTGGATAAAAATTCATAGCTCGTACAAAATGTGTGAATTTATTGCAGTTTTCTTCCCCTTCCAAAAAAAAAACCCCCTTAAGATTTATATGAGAAAGAGATTAAATTTTTTTAATGGATTACCTCTAAAAATCTTGTTTTAATATACGTCACTGATTTATATTGGAAGAAAGGGGCTCAAATATAAATAAGTGCTTCAATTTTAGGTTACTTCGAATGTGGTATTCATCCGAAAAACTACTCTATAAATAGCTAAAATAACATCCCCTTTGCTAGATCTGTTTAGGAGATATGTGTACATCTCAATTTTGGTTGAAACTAATTTTAATTTTATATAAATTGGCAATTTTCATTATTGCTATATGTTCTTTTCGGTATAAAACAAATATTGATCCTTTATTTCTATTTTCATGACATTGGCATTATGGTTTTGAAACCGATCCAACATTAATTATATACTTAGAGGCTAAAAAAAAACAGTTGTGCGAGTTATAAATTATTTTTCTGTGAAAACTTTCGAATTTTCAAATAAAAATTATACAAATAAATATATTTATTTGAAAATAAATAAATGTATTTATTTGATACAATAAATACTTATTTGATAATAGTCAAGTAACCGGTTATTTGAATCAAATATTTTTTTTTTCGTGTTATAAAATACACAATTTATAGAAACTAAAGGTGATTCCAGTTTGCATCATCCTTTGGTGTATGATGAAATTCGCGAGTACCGAGGTAGAGAATTTCCACCCTCAATTTTCATCCCTCCACATTGGTGATACCAGGTTCACCGAGTGGGTTATACCCCGCTTTTCTGTTCTCCCAGGATACAAGCATGACGACATAAAGTTGTTCGCTTAGAGCAGAAATTCTATTCCGTATATATCCTTGCACTGTTGCGTCACATAGCTCGATTAATTAAGGAATAATTGACTATAAATACAATGCGTCTAAATTTGACACTGGTTTATTAATCTTTAATTATCTTTATCGTATAATCACACGGAAAGAAATCTTGTTAGAATATTTAATAAATCTGAATAGAAATTTTGATATTTTTGTTTTTCAATTGCGAAACATTCTGGTTTGATAATAAAAGTTGGTATATTTTTATACGAATACCTTTAACTGAAGACATTTTACGAAAACTGAAATTATTATTTCTTAATTCAAATATACAATTTTCGAATATTTATTAAAATTAGCGTTAAATAGGCTAAAGTACAATCATTTTAATGATATTAATATGAAATACACTGAGAAAAATATGCTATTGAATCAACAGTATTTTTGCCGCAAAGGTATAAAAATTATTTATTCAAAAGCATATGCTATATAGAATCTGTATAATATTTTACAAATTCTATAGCATATGCTTTTGAATCAATAATTTTTATACCTTTGCGGCAAAAATACTGTTGATTCAATAGCATATTTTTCTCAGTATAATAGTTCTCTATTAAAGTCAGATATTATTTTAGCGAAAACTAAAATTGATAAATCTTGATTTCAAGTGAACGTCAATTGAAATTTTTTTTGGATTTGATACTTTTACAATGTAAAGTATAAACCCTAATCTTTGATTCTTATAACCAAAATTACTCAAAAATAATCAGTATTCACTTTGAATTTAATAAGAACATTTTTATATGCTCTGTAAATTTTGCAAAGAAAATTTGACGATCTCGTTCTTTTGTTTTGACATTTAACCACACTTTTAAAAAACTAAACTTGTTTTTCATTTATAATGTGACAAATCTAACAATCAAAAAGTGTGGTTAAATATCAGAACGCAAAAGAATGAGATCGTCAAATTTTCTTTGCAAAAATTTACAGAACATATGAAAATGTTTTTAATAAATTTAAAGCGAATACTGATTACTTTTGAGTGATTTTGGTTAAGAATTAAAAATTAAGATTTATACTTTACATTGTAAAAGTATCAAAGTGATAGCTTCAATAGTTTTCGAGATACAGTCTCTCAAAGTTGATCCTTTTGAGATTTTACATTCAATAGTATAATAAATAATATTGTATGTAAAACCTCAAAAGGGTCAAATTTGAGAGATTGTATCTCGGAAACTATCAAAGCTATCACGTTGATCTTTTTTGCAAATTGTTAGGAATTTAGACAGCTTTAACTTACATGTTGGTCATTTTTTCAAAAAATCATTAGTTTCAAAGCTATATTATAAAAACCGAAAAATACCGGATTTTGGCTAAAATCACGAAAAAAAATGGATTTTTTGCGGAAGCTATATTTCGGTCAATTTTTGAGCTACAGGGTTTATTATTTATCAAATTACTCAGGATTTTATACACTATATTTTTTATAATAACTATTTTTATGCTAAAATGTCTTGGAAGGCGGCAATTTGTAGAAAACTGATTTTTTGCACTTATTTCTTAAAAAATTTTTAGGTTCCGGTAGGAGTTCAAAAAGTACCAAGTTTAGGTACTTTATTTTTAACCCAAAATAAAGGATTTAAGCAAAAAAAAAATTGAAGTCTTGAGTTAAAACATCTAAAAATGCTAACTTGACCGAACTATAGCCTACTTAACGCTAATTTTAATAAATTTTTAAATATTCCCAGCTTAGTCAACTGCAATTTTTGTAGAAATGTTTTTATTTAAAGTGAAACGAGTATTTTCCATTAATCCATCCAAATGTACAGAAACTTTTTGAACTTAGTGTATA